GAAAGAGGAGATGGAGAGTGAGGAGATGGAGAGGGAGGAGATGGAGAAAGAGGAGATGGAGGAGATGGAGAGGGAGGAGATGGAGAGGGAGGAGATGGAGAGTGAGGAGATGGAGAAAGAGGAGAGGGAGAGGGAGGAGATGGAGAAAGAGGAGATGGAGAGGGAAGAGATGGAGAAAAAAGGAGATGGAGGAGATGGAGAGGGAGGAGATGGAGAAAGAGAAGATGGAGAGCGAGGAGATGGAGAAAGAGGAGATGGAGAGTGAGGAGATGGAGAAAGAGGAGATGGAGAGGGAGGAGATGGAGAAAGAGGAGATGGAGGAGATGGAGAGGGAGGAGATGAAGGAGATGGAGATGGAGGAGATGGAGAGGGAGGAGATGGAGAAAGATGAAATGGAGAGGGTGGAGATGGAGAAAGAGGAGATGGAGAGGGTGGAGATGCAGAGGGAGGAGATGGAGAGGGAGGAGATGGAGAAAGAGGAGATGGAGAGGGAGGAGATGGATAGTGAGGAGATGGAGAAAGAGGAGATGGAGAGGGAGGAGATGGAGAGTGAGGAGATGGAGAAAGAGGAGATGAAGAGGGACGAGATGTCATCTTCAACGGGAGTTAACACGAGCCATGTCAGTTTGTCACTTTCATTCACAACAAAACAATTATAATAAAATGAAAAAATTTAAAGCATCAATAAAAACATGAACACTAAGCTTACCGTGTACCACGGTGCGGTTTTCTTTTTCTTGTCACTTTTTTTACTGACATTAGATTCATCCACAGAAGTTTTATCACTGAGAGTTCCGTTTTTACATTCCACACTCAGATTCAGATCCAATGATTTTTCTGAACACTTGTCCATTATGTTGTCTAATGACTTCTCAAATGACCTTTCACGCGAATGAGCACGTGTAAATTCGGCACTGCTCCGACTTCCTGAGTCAGAAGCCCTCTCTAAGCCTTTTAAAGATGAGGACCTTTCAATATCGGATTTCGCAACTGACAACTTATCATTGCACATGCTTGGTGAACTTGTGACCTTTGAACTTGCCGATGATACTGTGACCTTTGGAGTCATCTTGGAAGATGATAAACTGTTGCCAAACAAAGATGTTTCCGATGGAGTCTCAATTTGAGATTTCCTGGACTCAAAACTCCTGGAGTCTGAGGGTATATTGTGGTCAAGAGAATTTGATGTTTTATTGTGGTCTGTTGCGATGTTATTTTCAAGATGCATGTCGGATAGACAGCTGGGTGTGGATCTGTGTTCAACATCTTTAACGACAGGAGAACTGGTTCGTCTGTAAACCGGACTGCAATTCCTCCTGTAAAATATTCTTTAAGAAGTAAGAAAATAAAACTAGGCTACATAGGGTCATTTAATGAAGTAAAATCTGTTTTATCATTAACCAATGAAACAAGCCATAAAAGGCTCTAAAGGCAACATCTATTTTTGTAATTTCAGCCGTCTAAAAATTCAGACCTAATCTAATTTTAAGTCCAAATGATACATTTTGAGAGCTAAAATTTATTTTTATTTAATACAAGATACTATGTATATCTTCCCATTTACCCTGAAGACTCAGATGTATCAGATTAGAATTAAATGAACAAAGAGGCCCAAAAGGTCTGTACTGTTCCCCTGTTTATTTATATTCCGATAAATGTACCTTACATTGAAGTCTCTGTCAAAAGTTTATAAACATAATAATAACATCGGTAATATTGTCTATTCTTTACATCATTTTTCGGTTTCAAATTTCAATATAAGTAAATACAATCTTAAACCACTTCTTGTTTAATTTTATTGAAAAATGATACAGAATATAAAAACAACAGCATAGCAGCCAAGTTGGTGTTTTTACAAGGTAACGTTCTAGGTCAGATTACAGGGTCTTACAAACAACTAAGTCAGCCAGAGACAATGTTTGCGAAAAATTAAACAAGACACACCACAGAAAGGTCACAAAGTAAGTGTCAACCCTGTTTAAACTTACCCCGGAGAATCACAGTTCATTTCAATATTGATGAAAGGTTCTGAGCTCGTTGAGGACTCCTGACTTGAGGCAACGTTGACTGGAGAGATCTCGCCAGCCTTCCGTCTGAAACACATTTATGTATTGAGGTTAGTTTAAAGCATCAATATTATGTCTTCTGAAATAAAACTGATAATCACTTTATAAGTGCATGTCAAACACAGCATAAATAGGGGTATTATTGTCTTAAAAATTTGCTATTTTTTGGCCAAAATGAAATGTTGAATTTTGTCATGACTAAATTTAGCCTGTTCAACATCATTGTATAAATATTGGCACTTAATCCTTACATCAACTCTGTGTGCACATTTTGTATATAATGTTAACGTCCTTTGAGTGTTGTGCCTTGTGTACAACAAAGTCAACGATTCTGACTTTTTCCGTACATCTGATGAACAAAGTCAAAGATTCTGAATTTTCCTGTACATCTGATGAACAAAGTCAAAGGTTCTGAATTTTCCTGTACATCTGATGAACAAAGTCAAAGGTTCTGAATTTTCCTGTACATTTGATCAAAAAAGTCAAAGGTTCTGACTTTTCCGTACAGTTGATCACCATTTTGTATTCATGGGTGATACAAACATGTGTTACTTACAATATGACATGTACAGTGAACCCCTGACAATGTGAAACCTTTGTTCCCAGCCACATTCATGTAAGTTATGAGTAATCCAGCGTCCAGATTATCAGGGAACCACTGTATTTTGTAGTGTTGTCCTCTTGTTTACAATAACTATTCATAGTTGTTTTGATTGATTAATCAAAGAATGATTGAAGCCATATTGATTTATCTTAATTATCTTTTTCTACAAAATCAAATCAGAACACTTAAATGTTAATTCAATAGCCAGACACTGTCAGACTTACATTTCGTTAAAAATAGTTAGACACATATTTTGTAAATATATGTGGATATAAGATGAGGGGAAAAAACACCTGTTTTACTTCTTGAACAAACATGCTGTTACATGTCAATACATGCATACTATCAAAACTGTCATCCTTTACTAATAATTCTAAAAAAGTTATATCTAAACAACCAACCTTATGCTTAAAAATGCAATTTTTCAAAGAAAATTACAGAAAAGTTTAAGACAAACTTTCTCCGCAGGAAGAAATATGAGACTCATTTTGGTAATTAAAGCACCCTTCATGCTTCCATTTATACTATGCATTCTACCATACCTGAATATTGAGGAGAAGATATTCCAAATTTAAGTCAATTTGAACATGTTTGACCCTTAACCTGAGCTCTTTTTGGGTCAACCAGGATCAATTTGGGCATACCATCAAGCCGTCATCCTTCACTCAAAAATCTAACCAAATCTGAGATATTTCTATACTTTACCCCTATCCCTACATACAAATATGAGGCCTAGGGCCGTGAAATTCACAATTTTGGTAAAGCACCAGAAGATGCTTCCATTCATGAAGAGTTTTTGATTCTACCTTATCTGGGAGTTGAGATGTTTGAGTCAATTTGACCACATTTGGCCCCGCCGATCAGCCCCTGGGGGATCAGTTAGGATCAATATGGGCATACCATCAAGCCAACATCCTTCACTCATAAATCTAACCAAGGTTGAAATATTTCCAATGGAAATTTAACAAATTATGCTCAAAAATCTATTTTTCCTCAGGCTCCAAAAAGCAATAGCAAATGACATATCACAACTGAAATAATTATCAAAATATTTAAATCATGGATATCTGCTCATCTACTGAAAACAAATACAAAGTGAATATCATTTCTTTCAAGACACATAACATATTCATTAATGATTTATTTTTTAATACATTTTATAAAACTATTTATCTTTTTCACGAATTCTTAAAAATACAAACACATGAAGTAGGATAGATTTCAAGAACGTTTTTAAAGAAGAGACAGAAACTTGTATAAGATTTCTGTGAAAATTATGTCACACAAGGTTAGCATTGTGTCTGTAACATCATGTGACACAGGGTTTACAGTGTGTAATATCATGTGACACAGGGTTTACAGTGTGTCTGTAACATCACGTGACACAGGGTTTACAGTGTGTAATATCATGTGACACAGGGTTTATACTATGTCTGTAATATCATGTGACACAGGGTTTACAGTGTCTCTGTTATATCATGTGACACAGGGTTTATACTGTGTCTGTAATATCATGTGACACAGGGTTTACAGTGTGTCTGTAATATCATGTGACACAGGGTTTATACTGTGTCTATAATATCATGTGACACAGGGTTTATACTATGTAATATCATGTGACACAGGGTTTATACTGTGTCTGTAATATCATGTGACACAAGGTTTACAGTGTGTCTGTAATATCATGTGACACAGGGTTTATACTGTGTCTGTAATATCATGTGACACAGGGTTTATACTGTGTCTGTAATATTATGTGACACAGGGTTTACACTGAGTCTGTAATATCATGTGACACAAGGTTTATACTGTGTCTGTAATATTATGTGACACAGGGTTTATATTGTGTCTGTTATATCATGTGACACAATGTTTATACTGTGTCTGTTATATCATGTGACAGGGTTTATACTGTGTCTGTTATATCATGTGACACAGGGTTTATATTGTGTCTGTAATATCATGTGACACAAGGTTTATACTGTGTCTGTAATATCATGTGACACAAGGTTTATATTGTGTCTGTTATATCATGTGACACAAGGTTTATACTGTGTCTGTTATATCATGTGACAGGGTTTATACTGTGTCTGTTATATCATGTGACACAAGGTTTATACTGTGTCTGTAATATCATGTGACACAAGGTTTATACTGTGTCTGTAATATCATGTGACACAAGGTTTATACTGTGTCTGTAATATCATGTGACACAGGGTTTATACTATGTAATATCATGTGACACAAGGTTTATTCTGTGTCTGTAATATCATGACACAAGGTTTATACTGTGTCTGTAATATCATGTGACACAAGGTTTATACTGTGTCTGTAATATCATGTGACACAGGGTTTATACTGTGTCTGTAATATCATGTGACACAGGGTTTATACTGTGTCTGTAATATCATGTGACACAAGGTTCATACTGTGTCTGTAATATCATGTGACACAGGGTTTATACCGTGTCTGTTATATCATGTGACAGGGTTTATACCGTGTCTGTAATATCATGTGACACAGGGTTTATACTGTGTCTGTAATATCATGTGACACAGAGTTTATACTGTGTCTGTTATATCATGTGACAGATGATTCTAATTATGGTTTATCAAGTACAAAGTAGGATTCTAATAAATGGTTTATTTACCTGACCAACTTCTTGATGAAATTTGCTGACATGGGCAACATGGAGGAAACATCAATAAAACAAATATTTAAACAAATCAGAAAAATGATACCACCTCAGACATGTAAAAGAATGAAGAAAATTCTCTTTGTTAATCCTGCATCTGCTATGTCCTCAAACATCAAGCATTGTAATGACAAATGATTAAGCTTGTATTATATACACAGTTTCCCTATCTGTTGTATGTATACACTGAGTTTCCTGTCTCCTAAGCTTATTATATATTGGTAAGGATTGGTCAATGAGATTAAGGTTTTAGTTTTTAATGTTACCATAGTGACACACAGCACCTGGAATTGAACTTGTTGTTTAAACAGTTTTTATTCAGGTATACAATTGGCTTGGTTGTTGATTCAGTTGTTTAGTTACAGGATTTTCATCTCTGTGACTGAAATACACTTGGTTAGTTACTGGTTAAGGGTTTTCATCTCTGTGACTGAAATACACTTGGTTAGTTACTGGTTAAGGGTTTTCATCTCTGTGACTGAAATACACTTGGTTAGTTACTGGTTAAGGATTTTCATCTCTGTGACTGAAATACACTTGGTTAGTTACTGGTTAAGGGTTTTCATCTCTGTGACTGAAATACACTTGGTTAGTTACTGGTTAAGGGTTTTCATCTCTGTGACTAAAATAGGCAGTCCAAGCTTGATGCTATGACCAACTTCTACTAATGAGTTAACATACAAGGGATGAAGTAATATCTAGCTTATGTCAATTCTCTGTGGAGTTACATAGTCTAAAGACTTTTGTCTGTTTCTCATAACCTGACCCTACTCTGAAACTCCTTCACCTCTCGACCAAAATCTGGAACATCCCTGATATCAATGTTAGAAGTATATATCTTTATTTCTATTCTGATTACTTTCCTTCTTTGGTCTCCTTCCATTGCTCATTTTGATACCCTGACGTCTAAATTTCACAATGATGAACAGTCATGCTTAAACCACAGTTTTATGTTTTTAAAATCTACTAATTTTAAAATAAATGCTGAAAAGTCAAAGAGGTTGATGGATGATGTAGAATAACAGATGGAACACCATAGCAACTTCAGTCACCTTGACCTTTAAGGTTGGATGACCTATATATAGCTATAACAAGAAGTCATCAGTACTTACCTAAGCCTGGAAATCACAGAAGTACCATCAGCAAACATTGTACAGACATCAACCAAAGATATGTCTGCACGTACATAAGATCTTTAGGTTTGTGGATAATTGTAAAATACAGGTACATAAAGCATAGTGTTCACCTCACATATATGTATATAGAAATCCATTTCCCAGACACAAACCTAAATTATACATTTTTATATAAATGGAACAGATAAAAAATTAGTGACAGGTACTTGTTAACTTACACTGCTCACTTAATCTATAGCTATCATCTTATTCACAATAACATAGGTATAAATTAACACACATATATATGTGTGATCCCTACATGTATAAACAGATACATTAAGTAGCTAGACATACCTATATATATAGATAGCTCTAATATGATACACAAGCAGGTTGTGAAATGTAAATATACATAGATTGTATAAGATCGGATGACCGTCATGTGATCATTACATTACCTGTAGGTTTGAACCTGAATGAACATCTCTACCAGCCGTTAATTCTAATAATAAGTTTCTTCACAAATGAATCTCCTGCAGAGAACAGACAGACAGATAGTTGGACAGAAGGACAGATGGTGTTGGACAGAAGGACAGATGGTGTTGGACATCTTAGTTTTAATCCTTTTTTAGGAGAAGATCAGAGATGTAAAATATGTAAATGTAACACCTGATCAGAGCTCCTGTGTTACAGATTTACAGATGTGATACATGTAACTGTACATAACACAACCACAAGTCCAGGAAATTTTAGTTGTACCATTTAAAAGTAAAAACATTTCAAATATTCAAAATGTTTAAATTGAGTTTAAAGTTGGTTTATATACAATGAAAGTTTATCATTGTGACTTATTGCTGAAAGACAAATAAGGTAAATAAATATGTACCGTATACCTATAGTACAATCTATCCCAGGGTACACTGTGGTACCCGATAGCTCGGTAAACATCCTGCAGACAACATCATCTGACCTCGAGGTTACACATCGTTAAATTGTAACATGATGAGCAGTGGAACCCATGATTGTTCAGATATATTCTATTGTTATAAACTTTATAATATGTTACATAATCATTATATCAACTTCTGATGTTACCTGAGCAACAAATCAAGAAATTAACAGGTAAATTGTTTTATCAAATATTGTCAACAAGACAGCTCTATAAAGCTTAACTGTCTTTTTTCTGCTAGATGTTGTTACCAGGACCACATGTATCCATGTAGAAAACTTTATGCACAGCAGACATATATGTCACTATGGATTTACATTAAAGTTTTCTTTAAATGATGAAAACTATATTTTTTACATCAATAATTATAATTATGCCATTAACAGGTATAAAGTAACAGTGTTTTATTGAACTTTTTCAGTAAAAAACAACAAAACTCAAGAATGTTGAGATGAACAATTTACACATGGACGATATATAGTAAGTTAAGTTTTTATACTCCATTAACAGCCACAGTCAGTTAAGAACATAACAGCTTGGGTGGTGACCAAAAGCAAATGTTCCAACAAAAAAACTACCAACCTGTGGACAGTACCTCAAGTAGGTCTAAAACCTGTGACCCACAGGTGGACAGCACCTTGAGTAGGTCTCAAACCTGTGACCCACAGGTGAGAGCACCTTGAGTAGGTCTCAAACCTGTGACCCACAGGTGGACACTACCTCGAGTAGGTCTCAAAACCTGTGACCTACAGGTGGACACTACCTCGAGTAGGTCTAAAACCCATGACCCACAGGTGAGAGCACCTTGAGTAGGTCTCAAACCCTTGACCCACAGGTGGACAACACCCGGAGTAGGTTTAAAACCCATGACCCAGAGGTGACAGCACCTTGAGTGATAAAGATAGCCAGATGCCTAAACCAGTCAAACACCCCTATACAGCAAGCATTGTGGGAAATGTTGCTGTACTATATAATCATGGTAGGAATTGATTCATTATATCTGTTTTTACACAATCATATATCAATGATCATGACTGGCAAGTCTTGAACATAAATATGAATTTTCTTCGGTTTCTTGAGTTTTGTAATATAGGAAGTATTTTTCTCACACTTCAGACAGGGATATCTCCTCTGAGATTTTCCTATCCCACCCGATCTGTCTAGTAACCTCACATGCGTTTTCGTGGAAATGTTTACACATTGGTGTATTCATTCATGTGTTGGTGGCACCTACACCCGTGCATTTCAACAAAAATGTAGGTTATGTCGTTGTTAAAAATTTTAATGATATTCTATTTACTGAATCATATTTAAAATAAAATAGAAAATGCGACAGGTATTGAAGTATTTTATTTGTGGCCTACATGGTTTTTGCATCACTATCCAATGTTGTTTAAAAGTGAAGAGACTGTGAGGATAGTTTGAGGCTCCCACGGGATATGTCAAACTCTGATGAAATATTGAATAATTTTTAGAGTATTAGATGCAAGAAAAAAAATCTATTACCTGTAACTAAGCAAGATTGGGGTATCTTAGTCTAGGGATATATAAGATGCAATAAGATAATCCGAGGTGTTAGCAGAGGTTAGGATACTACAGGATCTTAGCCCCACATCTTATTAGTCTGTTTAGGTATGACCAGACACATGGTGATAACATCATTGCTAACAATAATGTTAAAAAAAACAAAACCAAATGAAATCTAAATCTTGACAATTCATGACCACCCAGCTGACTAAAATCATCAGTAATTATTTGTGCCAGAATATGGACTTTTAAACCCTAACCCATTTCCTGTCACTACAGTCTTACTTTAAAATGCTGTAATTTCACAAAGATTTCTTGGTTCCTACACTTTCAACTGTAAGCCAACTAAATAAGATGCTGATTGTTAATATAGATTTCTACAATAAAGATTCAATAACCAATTTCCTTCAAGGATATCAAATAAATCATCTTTACCATTATTGAAAAACTTTAGCATGTCAAATATTTTCATAATCTGACTACAGCTAGTGTCTTTATATGTAATTAACACTTCTGTTACTACTTAACTGTTTTTTGTATGTTTGATACCGTACATAGCTGAATGTGGTTTTCAAAAATTAAGAAGTGTATCATTTCATTTGAATATATATATTATTTTCTTTTAGAAATACAAATCTATAAAGTTAATTGAATTAGATCATTAATTTGACAGCTTATAATCATATACAACAAGAGTTTAGGTCACTTGATAGCAAGTAAAGAACAGCAGAATGTGCAGTCGAGCCAGATGCTATAAAAATCACATCCAAACACATGAACAAGCTACCGTGCATCTGTCAAGTGTTTACAACACTTTACAACAACACAAATCAGCTGACTACTGAAAACAAAGCATAGGTATCGGTCCTTACTTTAAAGAAGGTTGAGGTGACCGACGAAGAAGAGTATTGATTGCACCGGTCACGGATAATGTTGATGCTACATCTTCATCGTTGTTGTTGTTGTTTGATCCATTGACAAAATTTTGTTTCGTCTCCCGATTGACGTTGCTGTCACAACTGAAGCTATGTTGATTATTTCCGCTTATAGAATCGCCGTTTCCTTCATGCGTATTGAGTGAATCGTCTCTACCGTCAATATTTTCAAGTGGCTTGAGCATGCTATCCGTAGATGTTTCGATTTCGTAGACATCGGTTGAAGTAAAACGTCTGCACACGACCGACACTTAGGCCTAATACTGGTGAGGTGTCCATCGATTTACCATTCATCTTTCATTGTCGCCGCTGCTTCTGGACGAAGTTTTAGTTTCGAACTCAAGAAATAATATTTTGTTTTCTTGATATTTTTTTCAAATTAAGCATTTTTTCACATTTTTTTAAAATCGATGATTAGAAAATAATCGTGGAGGATTTTTTTCATAATTTATGTAGCGAAAATAACATGACAGCTCTGCTTACAATTTTACCCACAATACAGTTCGCAATCGCATTCCATGGCCCGATGGATTCGGACGAGGAACGAGAAAACGTAAGCTTTTTTTATTTTAAATTGATTTGTAGTCATCATTCAGTTTCTATTTTATGATATGATGTTGTCAATTGTAAGTGGAATACATTAAGAGTATAATTGGCAAATTATATCAACTCCTTATCTGTCGTTACTAATGTCAACAAACTACTGACACCTGTTCGTTTCAAGATGTGGAGATCAGTATTTTAGTACAACTGGGTAACGTGCATTCTACTATTGCAGTGTCGCCAGCCCCTAGAATCTGGTTATAACCCTTCATCGTCAAGTCGGCAAAATGCACTCAAGGAAAAAACTGTTAATCAATTCTATTGTATAGTTATCACATGTGAATGCTTGAACAGCTTTTTGACCAGTTCTATCTAAAAGGCGACGAGAGATAACAAGCGTCGTAAAACGTCTGTAGAAAATGTCTTCAAATACTGGCTTTCAAGCTACATTTTATTTACCAGGATTACATACTCCCTAGAAACCTTCATATTACCCATTGGTGACTATGTGTTCCGTTATGGTGTGATATAATTTTTTTACAGGCCAGAGTAGTTCAAAACCAGCCGTACGACGAAGCTTTAGAAATCCCAGACGGTGAGGAAGTAGCTAGTACATATTCCCCAACACCAAGAGTCAACCCCGCAGGTATGTAGCATATGTAAAGCTTGTGTTTTATAAATATATATATATGTATATACACTACAGTTTTAGGAAGTGTTTTGTAGAATATGTCAACAATGCCTTACCAACGATAACTGTATCTGTTCTCATATCTTTGGCCCTAAAGAAAATATTTACTAGTTTTACTCCATTTTCATTCATTTTATTCGTACTGATTATAAAATCTAAAAAAGATTAATGTACTGATATTATTATTGCTAAAATAAACCAAACATGTTATTTAGCAGGTTTGTATACACAGAGATAGGAAGTTTCATTTGAATCCAACAGTGTCAATTTTTATATCTCTGCATGTATTCATATGATCACTTCATTCCAAACAGACATGGTAGAGGTACTGTCTGTATATGGATTGTTTACTGGTATCTTTTTATGGACCTGAAATTCTTTTAATGCATATATACTACATATGTTTTAAACTGACAAAAATTTAGGTAATTACTGTGTAGGAATTCACATCAAACTTTTGAACTTTTTATTTTAATGCATCAGGAGCCGGCAAACTGGCACTAGCACGCCCTCGAGGACCAGGTAGGCAGGTCACAGTACAAACTTAGAAGTCATAGTCACTTTCTTTAGTCAAGCAACAGTTACGTTCCTTATTAGATGTGAAAGGGTGGTAGATGGCGCTGGAGATAACACCTACAGATGATACAATTTATTAACAGACAGGTTGCACGTTTAGATGTGTAATGCTAATAATGTCTTGCCATTAATATACGGGCAATTATGACATATACACACATATTTGACAAAAACTCCTGTGGGTTAGAAAGTCCATACTATATTAAAAAGGTCTCTCAGCACCCTAATGATATAAAACAACAATGATTTGAAAAATTTGGAATAGATTTGTTTTTGATTGATCATTTCTAAACAAGTCTTTGGAAATCAATACCCAAGTTTAGTTCATCCGTCACTTTACAGTGATTTTTGGGCCCTGGACTTGTGCTTTTCCTGTTGGACTCACTCAAGTTTTTAGACCCATCTATATCTTATACCATTGGGACTCAGACATCAAAACTGTTGGTGTTGTAAACCATAACGGGTTATAAGCAGCACCAGTATATGAAATGCAAAGCCGAATTTTACCTATTTAAAAAAAAATTGATCCACATATAAGCTGCAACCTTTTTTTTATAAAGTGGAAACCATTAAGTTAACAGAAAATGGAGGCCAATTTATCAAGATCATCAGTGAAACATTAAATATATGTTTGCAAATGAGTTATACACAAATAATCCTTTATTTTATTGATGTATTTCAAAAACGTAAAAAAAATAGCATATTTGAATTTGTTTGGCTTGGGTGCCTTTACGGATTGTCTATGTGCAGGTATAGGGCCTGACTTTACATATGGCTTACTAAACAATCTCTCCATCAGTGTCTGTATAGATAAGGAAAGTCTTTGCATGCTGACCAAATTTTCCTAGTCCCATATTATTGCTTCTTGTAAGTAACACAAAGTCATTCATATCGTAAACAAGCATGGCAGTTATATTAGAATGTAACCTATAACCCAATGGTCTGTCAATCCTAGGATGCAAAAGGCTATTGTAAACTTCCACTACAACTTCTAAGTAACTGCGAAAGTCCAGAAGATATAATTTTGGTTTATATTAAAAGGTGTGATTAATTAAATCCACGAAAATGTTATTTTTATTTCAATCTTTAAATCATCCTGTAAATGATTGCAAATGACAGTTCTAGACAATCTGTTTCTGTCACATTCACACATTGGGCAGGTACTTGTTAAGAAACTCTGTACCGTCTCATACTGGTGAACTGGTATGCTTCCATTTTTCCTTTTCATTCTGCCAATTTTTTTTTCATTCACATGTAAGCCACACACCGACTCACAAGGTTTTAAAGTTGGTACATACAGCGATGATACTAATATACTAAAGACCTGGATGTCAACTTCTAAAAACCAAAGATGGTTCAAGTAATGCATAGTGTAAAAATCTATAGATATAGTGGGGTTATAAACTTGGTACATGGTATTGGAGATCTGGATCACAGCTTCTCAAACAAGATGGTTCTAGTAATATATAATCAGTAGATAAGGATGAATACTTAGTATCTCAGTATGTTAAATGAAAATCCTACCTGATTTAGTTGTATATCTGTAGATAGAATTCAGTAGTGCTAGATCACAAGTATGTTTTGATTTTATTTGGTGTAAGCATGTTTATATTCATAACATAAAACTCTACTTTGAAGATAACTCCAGACAAAATTCCAATGTTATCACATGATCACTATTCTCTGTCATTTAAGTGTTTACATTATATTACATTGTATCATCTGATCAACTGCTGTGAGAAACATTTGATTGATGGATATTTAAGGAGATTCCAACTTGTAAATCTATGTCGGGTATTAGGATATGGCTGTGTGGCATCTATTCAATTTTTTATTGTGTATTTAGATTTTAATAGATATCAACTTGTGTGTAAGATACTATAACTAAAAGTTCATAATGATAGTTAGGAAATTACATTGATGAAAACTATGTTAATTAAATGTCCCTTAGGTTTTACAAAAAAAGATACTCACTACATCATTTTGAACCTGTTTTTGTCCAACTAAGAGAAAATGTCAACCTGTCTGATTATAGGAAGTTTATAGTAGACTACTGCTTGGTAGATTTAGAGGTGTTGGTTAATCAGTGAACTTTAATGTCAGATAGGACTGGTGGTAGTCATAGAGACAGGACTGGTGGTAGTACAGGACTGGTGGTAGTCATAGAGACAGGACTGGTGGTAGTCATAGAGACAGGACTGGTGGTAGTCATAGAGACAGGACTGGTGGTAGTACAGGACTGGTGGTAGTCATAGAGACAGGACTGGTGGTAGTCATAGAGACAGGACTGGTGGTAGTCATAGAGACAGGACTGGTGGTAGTACAGGACTGGTGGTAGTCATAGAGACAGGACTGGTGGTAGTACAGGACTGGTGGTAGTCATAGAGACTGGACTGGTGGTAGTACAGGACTGGTGGTAGTCATAGAGACTGGACTGGTGGTAGTCATAGAGACAGGACTGGTGGTAGTCATAGAGACAGGACTGGTGGTAGTCATAGAGACAGGACTGGTGGTAGTCATAGAGACAGGACTGGTGGTAGTACAGGACTGGTGGTAGTCATAGAGACAGGACTGGTGGTAGTCATAGAGACTGGACTGGTGGTAGTACAGGACTGGTGGTAGTCATAGAGACTGGACTGGTGGTAGTACAGGACTGGTGGTAGTCATAGAGACAGGACTGGTGGTAGTCATAGAGACTGGACTGGTGGTAGTACAGGACTGGTGGTAGTCATAGAGACTGGACTGGTGGTAGTACAGGACTGGTGGTAGCCATAGAGACTGGACTGGTGGTAGTCATAGAGACAGGACTGGTGGTAGTACAGGACTGGTGGTAGTCATAGAGACTGGACTGGTGGTAGTCATAGAGACAGGACTGGTGGTAGTCATAGAGACAGGACTGGTGGTAGTCATAGAGACTGGACTGGTGGTAGTCATAGAGACAGGACTGGTGGTAGTACAGGACTGGTGGTAGTCATAGAGACAGGACTGGTGGTAGTCATAGAGACAGGACTGGTGGTAGTCGTAGAGACAGGACTGGTGGTAGTACAGGACTGGTGGTAGTCATAGAGACTGGACTGGTGGTAGTCATAGAGACAGGACTGGTGGTAGTCATAGAGACAGGACTGGTGGTAGTCATAGAGACAGGACTGGTGGTAGTACAGGACTGGTGGTAGTCATAGAGACTGGACTGGTGGTAGTCATAGAGACAGGACTGGTGGTAGTCATAGAGACAGGACTGGTGGTAGTCATAGCAACAGGACTGGTGGTAGTCATAGAGACAGGACTGGTGGTAGTCATAGAGACAGGACTGGTGGAAGTCATAGAGACAGGACTGGTGGTAGTCATAGAGACTGGACTGGTGGTAGTCATAGAGACTGGACTGGTGGTAGTTATAGAGACTGGTGGAAGAACATCTACACTAAAATGGAAAGCACTCAAAACATAATGTCAGTGCTACTTGCTTTGTTTAGAGAGCTTGTAAAGATTATTCAAAGTTCTAAAAATAAAACATTTTGATACCATCCTTAATTACTATGCATATAGATCTAAAAGGAAACAAAAACAAAATTCTCAAAATAAGACATTTTGATATTAACATTGATAACAAGCAAAAATGACCCATTATTTTTTTACAAAAACCCTGATGTTTACATTAAGAGTTCTCGTATGTGAAATATTAGATATTTGTGCTGTTCAATTCCAGTGACAAAAACAGCTCCATCCTAATCAAGTAGCTGATCAAATTTTACTCCTAAATAAACTTAATCCTGTATATCTTTTGGACACATGATATTGTAAACAGTGATGAAGCTGTGAAAAGGATTTTGAGAATTTTGCTTTTCTCCAGAAATTGCAGCTAATGTATAGAGGATAACTTTGGCAGTTTAAGTATGTGTACTTATATAACATTGCTTTAGAAATTACATGCAATTTTTCGTGATTAACTTACATTTTAATTCAAATTAATATGAAGTAGAAACCACTTAATGTCATACCCGTTAATATCACATTCTGCTTATTATCATATTTTTCTCTGACAAATTGAACATGAATAAACAGGGTTCTACTGTATTAGATGATAAGGTGCTGTACACACTTGATCTTGTATATCATAAAGGACACATTTATATACACTTTTTGCAATTATAACTTGATAAAAAAGTTAAGTTCAATTTCTTTAAATTAAAGTCTTTCAAACAGAGATGAACTTGAGGTTATCCTTTACTTTATGGTATATAATAACTTTTAGATTTTTAATTTCAATGAAATCTACAATAGAATGAAATGATGTTTCCGAAGATTTAATGTCAAGTTATATAGTATTTAGTCACTTCTGTTTTTAATATGTGTATTCAGTAATTTTATGGAAAAAAAAGCTGTTAATCAAATAATTTTTCTAATGCTATTATTCTTGGTCACATATTGCTTTCCTTGGAACTAAAGCACAACCTGTCCATGCTAAAGGTAAACCAGCATGTCTGTGTCCTGCACAACATTTAAAAGTTTAAAATAAATTTTATTCTTAATATTCTGTCTTTTTGAAATGCAGTGTTATCTTCTCTTGTGTAAAGGTATTGGAATGCATTAATACTGGTAGTTTGCACAGGAAAATGATGTTGTTTTCTCATGATGTTACCTACTCTCACAAACAAATGGCGTAATAATACATGCTCACCCGTGCGATAACTGTGCATTATGAAAGAACAAACTTGCATACTTTGTGTTACTAGATATCTATTGCACTGTTAAATATAGACCTTCTATCAAGTTCAAATAAAAAATTGCATGTACAGTACAATATAGCTCAGATCTTACAATAAGAATATTTCCATCCAATTAGGACAAAAGTCAATGAATTATTGAAGAGAAATCTGTCGTGAGTGAAGCAGTGAATATGTACACTACTAGATTTTGTTTAGTTGTGGTTATTATAACTATAATGAATGGCTTCGGTGTTGTAGAGTCTTGTGTTCTCAATGGTAATTCTAGAAATACTTTTGTAGCATGGTTATTTTTATCCAGAATCTGTTTTCACACTGGAAACATCACAGATTTAGCATTTCACCAAATTCTATCTTTGATAGTCAGGATTTTGCATTGTTGTTATGTTGGAGGGTTTCTGTTTTCATGGATGAAATCAAACAAGAAAAGTGGATATCGTGAAAATATAATCAATATCATAATTAGTTATCATTTCACGACCATCAAACCTCAGGTAAAATAGTCAAAATTTCAACGTTTAAAAAACTCCTTTCTAGTCTATTAAAAGCATACATGATTTCTTCAGATCCCAGGTAAGCTTTGATAGGTGACTGAAAGCTTGATTAGGCGCAGTTTTATTCATGAAGATCTTAAAATAATGATATTTCTCATTGTTCTGATACAAAAATATCAAATATCTTTAATTTGACATAATTCTACATACCTCTTGAATTTTTTGTTTTTCAAGGGTAGGGGGGGGGGAGGGGATGCTCAAAAATACCAGCATAAATAAGATAGGTGCATACACCCTCCAGTAAGGAAATATCGCATGTAAATAATAGTTTTTTGGTTGTTCATTCAAATGAAATCATTCAATCTTTGAATATAAGACCAATTTTCCAAAATCAGAAGTCTCCATCTTTAAAAAGAACGGTAGGCAAGTATGTGTTTTATGCTGTGATATTTTTTAATGTTTCTTCAATTCTATGCATTTTAATACTGAACAAGGTTGATATTCTTTGGCGTAGAAACCCTAAGGTAAGTTAATTATTTTTATTGATATTTAACAGAACGAGGGAAAAGTGTTGGATCAATGGAGTCTAATTTATCAGGAAACAATTCAGAGGAAGAAGAGGAGGAAGAGGATGATGATGAATTTCCAGAGGATATGGGACCGATGGGGGGACAAATGGACCAGATGGGACAATTAGGACAAAGGGTAATCCATACATACTTAATTTATTTTTTCATCCAGGCCTGAGGATCATGAAATTATTTTAAAGCTAAAACTGATGTAGCCAATCAGAGGTAATGTCACAGAATGAGATGCCATTTATGATTGGCTTAGCAAAAAATTAAGATTGTTTCATGATCCTCCATTCAGGTCACATGGTTTAAAACCTATGGCTAGCTGATAGTACTGAGGTCAGTCTTAGGAATACCACTTTTGTACATAATGTTTTAAACCAAACTGACAGGGAGGTCTGTCTTAGGAATACCACTTTTGTACATAATGTTTTAAACCAAACTGACAGGGAGGTTAGTGGTAGGAATACCACTTTTGTACATAATGTTTTAAACCAAACTGACAGGGAGGTTAGTGGTAGGAATACCACTTTTGTACATAATGTTTTAAACCAAACTGACAGGGAGGTTAGTGGTAGGAATACCACTTTTGTACATAATGTTCTAAACCAAACTGACAGGGAGGTTAGTGGTAGGAATACCACTTTTGTACATAATGTTCTAAACCAAGCTGACAGGGAGGTTAGTGGTAGGAATACCACTTTTGTACATAATGTTTTAAACCAAACTGACAGGGAGGTTAGTGGTAGGAATACCACTTTTGTACATAATGTTCTAAACCAAGCTGACAGGGAGGTTAGTGGTAGGAATACCACTTTTGTACATAATGTTTTAAACCAAACTGACAGGGAGGTTAGTGGTAGGAATACCACTTTTGTACATAATGTTTTAAACCAAACTGACAGGGAGGTTAGTGGTAGGAATACCACTTTTGTACATAATGTTTTAAACCAAACTGACAGGGAGGTTAGTGGTAGGAATACCACTTTTGTGCATAATGTTTTAAACCAAACTGACAGGGAGGTTAGTGGTAGGAATACCACTTTTGTACATAATGTTTTAAACCAAACTGACAGGGAGGTTAGTGGTAGGAATACCACTTTTGTACATAATGTTTTAAACCAAACTGACAGGGAGGTTAGTGGTAGGAATACCACTTTTGTACATAATGTTTTAAACCAAACTGACAGGGAGGTTAGTGGTAGGAATACCACTTTTGTACATAATGTTTTAAACCAAACTGACAGGGAGGTTAGTGGTAGGAATACCACTTTTGTACATAATGTTTTAAACCAAACTGACAGGGAGGTTAGTGGTAGGAATACCACTTTTGTGCATAATGTTTTAAACCAAACTGACAGGGAGGTTAGTGGTAGGAATACCACTTTTGTACATAATGTTTTAAACCAAACTGACAGGGAGGTTAGTGGTAGGAATACCACTTTTGTACATAATGTTTTAAACCAAACTGACAGGGAGGTTAGTGGTAGGAATACCACTTTTGTACATAATGTTTTAAACCAAACTGACAGGGAGGTTAGTGGTAGGAATACCACTTTTGTACATAATGTTTTAAACCAAACTGACAGGGAGGTTAGTGGTAGGAATACCACTTTTGTACATAATGTTTTAAACCAAACTGACAGGGAGGTTAGTGGTAGGAATACCACTTTTGTACATAATGTTTTAAACCAAACTGACAGGGAGGTTAGTGGTAGGAATACCACTTTTGTACATAATGTTTTAAACCAAACTGACAGGGAGGTTAGTGGTAGGAATACCACTTTTGTACATAATGTTTTAAACCAAACTGACAGGGAGGTTAGTGGTAGGAATACCACTTTTGTACATAATGTTTTAAACCAAACTGACAGGGAGGTTAGTGGTAGGAATACCACTTTTGTACATAATGTTTTAAACCAAACTGACAGGGAGGTTAGTGGTAGGAATACCACTTTTGTACATAATGTTTTAAACCAAACTGACAGGGAGGTTAGTGGTAGGAATACCACTTTTGTACATAATGTTTTAAACCAAACTGACAGGGAGGTTAGTGGTAGGAATACCACTTTTGTACATAATGTTTTAAACCAAACTGACAGGGAGGTTAGTGGTAGGAATACCACTTTTGTACATAATGTTTTAAACCAAACTGACAGGGAGGTTAGTGGTAGGAATACCACTTTTGTACATAATGTTTTAAACCAAACTGACAAGGAGGTCTGTCTTAGGAATACCACTTTTGTACATAATGTTTTAAACCAAACTGACAGGGAGGTTAGTGGTAGTAATACCACTTTTGTACATAATGTTTTAAACCAAACTGACAGGGAGGTTAGTGGTAGGAATACCACTTTTGTACATAATGTTTTAAACCAAACTGACAGGGAGGTTAGTGGTAGGAATACCACTTTTGTACATAATGTTTTAAACCAAACTGACAGGGAGGTTAGTGGTAGGAATACCACTTTTGTACATAATGTTTTAAACCAAACTGACAGGGAGGTTAGTGGTAGGAATACCACTTTTGTACATAATGTTTTAAACCAAACTGACAGGGAGGTTAGTGGTAGGAATACCACTTTTGTACATAATGTTTTAAACCAAACTGACAGGGAGGTTAGTGGTAGGAATACCACTTTTGTACATAATGTTTTAAACCAAACTGACAGGGAGGTTAGTAGTAGGAATACCACTTTTGTACATAATGTTTTAAACCAAACTGACAGGGAGGTTAGTGGTAGGAATACCACTTTTGTACATAATGTTTTAAACCAAACTGACAGGGAGGTTAGTGGTAGGAATACCACTTTTGTACATAATGTTTTAAACCAAACTGACAGGGAGGTTAGTGGTAGGAATACCACTTTTGTACATAATGTTTTAAACCAAACTGACAGGGAGGTTAGTGGTAGGAATACCACTTTTGTACATAATGTTTTAAACCAAACTGACAGGGAGGTTAGTGGTAGGAATACCACTTTTGTACATAATGTTTTAAACCAAACTGACAGGGAGGTTAGTGGTAGGAATACCACTTTTGTACATAATGTTTTAAACCAAACTGACAGGGAGGTTAGTGGTAGGAATACCACTTTTGTACATAATGTTTTAAACCAAACTGACAGGGAGGTTAGTGGTAGGAATACCACTTTTGTACATAATGTTTTAAACCAAACTGACAGGGAGGTTAGTGGTAGGAATACCACTTTTGTACATAATGTTTTAAACCAAACTGACAGGGAGGTTAGTGGTAGGAATACCACTTTTGTACATAATGTTTTAAACCAAACTGACAGGGAGGTTAGTGGTAGGAATACCACTTTTGTACATAATGTTTTAAACCAAACTGACAGGGAGGTCTGTCTTAGGAATACCAGTTTTGTACATAATGTTTTAAACCAAACTGACAGGGAGGTTAGTGGTAGGAATACCACTTTTGTACATAATGTTTTAAACCAAACTGACAGGGAGGTTAGTGGTAGGAATACCACTTTTGTACATAATGTTCTAAACCAAGCTGACAGGGAGGTTAGTGGTAGGAATACCACTTTTGTACATAATGTTTTAAACCAAACTGACAGGGAGGTTAGTGGTAGGAATAATTTTTAAGTATTGAGGACTTGATGTTCCCACAACAGCTGATGTTTTGTGTTTGTATTAGTTTCTCATTCATAGATAGAGGGGAGGTAACTCCCCTTTTATAAGAACACATGTTGCAGTGAATTTGTGATCAGTATGGACTATGTATTATGTGTATTTATACATCTTCTCCAGGCAGACGACTTATACAGGCTTTAACCTGTTGCCTAATACCCATTGATTTTTTTCAATGAAATCTTTGTGAAATAAAATTAACAGCTGAGGTATTTTAATTCAAGGTCACTAGATATAGGTATATATGGGGACACCACTGAGGTGATCAGGTACAACACTAGATATAGGTATATATGGGGACACCACTGAGGTGATCAGGTACAACACTAGATATAGGTATATATGGGGACACCACTGAGGTGATCAGGTACAACACTAGATATAGGTATATATGGGGACACCACTGAGGTGATCAGGTACAACACTAGATATAGGTATATATGGGGACACCACTGAGGTGATCAGGTACAACACTAGATATAGGTATATATGGGGACACCACTGAGGTGATCAGGTACAACACTAGATATAGGTATATATGGGGACACCACTGAGGTGATCAGGTACAACACTAGATATAGGTATATATGGGGACACCACTGAGGTGATCAGGTACAACACTAGATATAGGTATATATGGGGACACCACTGAGGTGATCAGGTACAACACTAGATATAGGTATATATGGGGACACCACTGAGGTGATCAGGTACAACACTAGATATAGGTATATATGGGGACACCACTGAGGTGATCAGGTACAACACTAGATATAGGTATATATGGGGACACCACTGAGGTGATCAGGTACAACACTTGATATAGGTATATATGGGGACACTACTGAGGTGATCAGGTACAACACTAGATATAGGTATATATGGGGACACTACTGAGGTGATCAGGTACAACACTAGATATAGGTATATATGAGGACACTACTGAGGTGATCAGGTACAACACTAGATATAGGTATATATAGGGACACTACTGAGGTGATGAGGTACAACACTAGATATAGGTATAAATGGAACACTACTGAGGTGATCCGGTACAACACTAGATATAGGTATAAATGAGGACACTACTGAGGTGATCCCGTACAACACTAGATATAGGTATAAATGAGGACACTACTGAGGTGATGAGGTACAACACTAGATATAGGTATATATGAGGACACTACTGAGGTGATCAGGTACAACACTAGATATAGGTATATATGAGGACACTACTGAGGTGATCAGGTACAACACTAGATATAGGTATATATGGGGACACTACTGAGGTGATCAGGTAAAAGCCATTGATCAGTCAGTTTTATATAGATTCTTATACAAAGGGATTAGACAAGAACCTAAAGTCACATTATTTGAAATTTATTTTGTATTCTACAAAGATCAAGAAATGTCTATGAAAACCTCTTTTTGTCATTTAAATCTGACGGATCCTTTGAGAACAAAAAATCTCAAAAATCTGTAGTTTTCTTCGTTCGTTACTTTTTATATTGGGTCTGTATAAATCTACTACTTGTATGGTGACAGGGTCCACCGGGACGTGCTCCACCTGGTGGTGGACAACAGGATCAAGGAGGAACGCAACAGCAGCAACAACAACAGTTCAATTCTGAAGATGAGGAAACTGACTCATCAGATGAAGATGATGATGACGATGATGATGATGATGAAGATGAGGACCATGCTCCATTGGAAGGGTAAAGAGATGATATCATACTTGTTGTTTTATTTATTTAGAATGTGAGGTTTTAAGTTTGATCATTGCTTGTATAACATGTCACACTTAAATGTATTCGTAATGCAAATTCAGCAGATTTTTATTTTCGAAAACAATAATACAGTGGAATTTTTCTAATAGATTATGCATTGGATGTAAACATTCCAGTATGTTTTAATCAGTTTAGACAGAAAATCATATCTGTATTCAGAATTGAGAATGATTAGTATTGGGAAGTTTGCTTGAAGAGGTAAAAGGTTTCAAGGTCAACTGAGAAATAGTCTCCTAGTGACCTATTGCAATCACCTTTTACAAGATGTTACAGAGCATATGGACATAGTTATCAGATTGATGAGACTGTAGTGTTGATTCTAGGTTACAGAGACTGTAGTGTTGATTGTAGTGTTGATTCTATGTTACAGAGACTGTAGTGTTGATTCTATGTTACAGAGACTGTAGTGTTGATTGTAGTGTTGATTCTATGTTACAGAGACTGTAGTGTTGATTCTATGTTACAGAGACTGTAGTGTTGATTCTATGTTACAGAGACTGTAGTGTTGATTCTATGTTACAGAGACTGTAGTGTTGATTGTAGTGTTGATTCTATGTTACAGAGACTGTAGTGTTGATTCTATGTTACAGAGACTGTAGTGTTGATTCTATGTTACAGAGACTGTAGTGTTGATTCTATGTTACAGAGACTGTAGTGTTGATTGTAGTGTTGATTCTATGTTACAGAGACTGTAGTGTTGATTGTAGTGTTGATTCTATGTTACAGAGACTGTAGTGTTGATTCTATGGAGACTTACAGAGACTGTAGTGTTGATTCTACAGAGACGTTACAGAGACTGTAGTGTTGATTCTATGTTACAGAGACTGTAGTGTTGATTCTATGTTACAGAGACTGTAGTGTTGATTCTATGTTACAGAGACTGTAGTGTTGATTGTAGTGTTGATTCTATGTTACAGAGACTGTAGTGTTGATTCTACGTTACAGAGACTGTAGTGTTGATTCTACGTTACAGAGACTGTAGTGTTGATTCTACGTTACAGAGACTGTAGTGTTGATTCTACGTTACAGAGACTGTAGTGTTGATTCTATGTTACAGAGACTGTAGTGTTGATTCTATGTTACAGAGACTGTAGTGTTGATTGTAGTGTTGATTCTATGTTACAGAGACTGTAGTGTTGATTGTAGTGTTGATTCTATGTTACAGAGACTGTAGTGTTGATTCTATGTTACAGAGACTGTAGTGTTGATTCTACGTTACAGAGACTGTAGTGTTGATTCTAGGTTACAGAGACTGTAGTGTTGATTCTACGTTACAGAGACTGTAGTGTTGATTCTATGTTACAGAGACTGTAGTGTTGATTCTATGTTACAGAGACTGTAGTGTTGATTCTATGTTACAGAGACTGTAGTGTTGAGACTGTAGTGTTGATTCTATGTTACAGAGACTGTAGTGTTGATTCTATGTTACAGAGACTGTAGTGTTGATTCTATGTTACAGAGACTGTAGTGTTGATTCTATGTTACAGAGATTGTAGTGTTGATTCTATGTTACAGAGACTGTAGTGTTGATTGTAGTGTTGATTCTATGTTACAGAGACTGTAGTGTTGATTCTACGTTACAGAGACTGTAGTGTTGATTCTATGTTACAGAGACTGTAGTGTTGATTCTATGTTACAGAGACTGTAGTGTTGATTCTACGTTACAGAGACTGTAGTGTTGATTCTATGTTACAGAGACTGTAGTGTTGATTCTATGTTACAGAGACTGTAGTGTTGATTCTATGTTACAGAGACTGTAGTGTTGATTCTATGTTACAGAGACTGTAGTGTTGATTCTATGTTACATAGACTGTAGTGTTGATTCTATGTTACAGAGACTGTAGTGTTGATTCTATGTTACAGAGACTGTAGTGTTGATTGTAGTGTTGATTCTATGTTACAGAGACTGTAGTGTTGATTCTATGTTACAGAGACTGTAGTGTTGATTCTATGTTACAGAGACTGTAGTGTTGATTGTTACAGTGTTGATTCTATGTTACAGAGACTGTAGTGTTGATTCTATGTTACAGAGACTGTAGTGTTGATTCTATGTTACAGAGACTGTAGTGTTGATTCTATGTTACAGAGACTGTAGTGTTGATTCTATGTTACAGAGACTGTAGTGTTGATTCTATGTTACAGAGACTGTAGTGTTGATTGTAGTGTTGATTCTATGTTACAGAGACTGTAGTGTTGATTCTATGTTACAGAGACTGTAGTGTTGATTCTATGTTACAGAGACTGTAGTGTTGATTGTAGTGTTGATTCTATGTTACAGAGACTGTAGTGTTGATTCTGTGTTACAGAGACTGTAGTGTTGATTCTATGTTACAGGGCGTATGATCCTGCCGACTATGAGAACCTGCCTGTTACTCCTGAAATAAAGGAATTGTTCCAGTATATTACAAGGTTAGTGTTGCAGCACTGTGGTCAGCTACTGACAAGTGAATGTAACAATCCAAATCCCTGTCTTACCTCTCACAAGTGAATGTAATGGTCCTAATCCCTGTCTTACCTCTCACAGGTAAATGTAATGGCCCAAATCCCTGTCTTACCTCTCACAGGTGAATGTAACAATCCAAATATGTCTTTACTTTCACATGTGAATGTAATGGTTCAAATCCCTGTCTTACCTCTCACAAATAAATGTAACAGTCCAAATCCCTGTCTTACCTCTCACAGGTAAATGTAACAATCCAAATCCCTGTCTTAGCCCTCACAGGTGAATTTAATGGTTCAAATCCTTGTCTTACCTCTCACAGGTGAATGTAATGGTTCAAATCCCTGTCTTACCTCTCACAGGTAAATGTAACAATCCAAATCCCTGTCTTAGCCCTCACAGGTGAATTTAATGGTTCAAATCCCTGTCTTTGCCCTCACAGGTGAATGTAATGGTTCAAATCCTTGTCTTACCTCTCACAGGTGAATGTAATGGTTCAAATCCCTGTCTTACCTCTCACAGGTAAATGTAACAATCCAAATCCCTGTCTTAGCCCTCACAGGTGAATTTAATGGTTCAAATCCCTGTCTTACCTCTCACAGGTAAATGTAACAATCCAGTATCCTATGATGCAATTTTTGATCATTTACTCACACAGATTTTGTCAGACAATAAAATAGTTATTTACCTGTTTTCTTTTGGTCAATACAAGAGATTATTAACCTGAGAAAGTGATATTTCAAACAACTGGAAAACAAGATCAATAATTGTATAATATGTTATAGGTATACGCCACAGTCAATTGAGCTGGAACATAAACTGAAGCCATTCATCCCAGACTTTATTCCAGCTGTTGGTGATATCGATGCTTTTATCAAGGTAAGATTTTAGGTCCAAGGTATGCCTTTAACATTCATTATTTCAGAGATTTCTTTTAAGTAACATCTTAAGGTTTCTTACGCTTTAAGAAATTTCACAGGAAGAAAAAAAATTGTCCAGAGCTTCCATTTGAATTATTTTGAAAAACAAAGTTTTTCTTTAATTTTACTAATGGGATTTCCATTTGACTTATACATAGAAATACTTGTGTCAAAGAACTGTGAACTTACTGTAAAACAGTGAAACTTTGAAAGGAGCAAAACTTTAGATAGTGAAAAAATTCATTCATAAAATTTCATTTTGAAACTTTTCACAACATAGTGTAATTAAAGGAGATAATGCAGGACTTGACACAGAAATTGAAATTTAAGTTTGAAGTTCTGAAATTTTGACTATGAAAGTGTGGACCTCCTTGTCAAGTCTGAATCTATCATAACTGACTTTAAGGATAGTATGATATGTAGTCACCATCTGCTACAAGATCCAAACACAAAATGACCTGACACTCTTTTCAATGGAATGCAGTCAGAAACTTCATTATTTTCAAGTATTTTCAGTTATCCATATTCAATTATCCATTTCAATGGAATTTCTATAATTGATAAAGTTTCTGATGACAATTTTTGTATTTTAGATTATTCGACCAGACAGCAAGCCAGACACCCTGGGTTTAAATGTGTTGGACGAACCATGTGCCAAGCAGTCCGACCCAACAGTTCTGGATCTCCAACTCCGTGCTATCTCCAAACAGACAACAGACAAAAAAGTTGTACGTATTCTACTAAAAATGGTGTTGGATATTGTAACAAAAGTTTTCCTACTGTGAATTCCAAAATTCAGAGTGGATGATTTATTGTTTAGAAATGTTGGTGCACAAGAATCTGATCAAATACCAGAATATGCTATTAATAAAGTGACCATACAATATAAATTGTGTTGTTTCAAAAAAAGTTTTGTTTTAAATCCTGTAGAAATGAATTCAGTGTTTACTTAAACTCTGAAGACTGACACTTAAATATATTTTTAAACAGGTTGTTAAGAGTTTGGAGTCGGCCGAGAAGAATCCTAAACATATCGACAGCTGGATAGAAAGTATTCGTGAACTCCGGCGTATACAGCCCCCTCCCAACGTACATTACTCTAAGTAAGGATGCTAGTGATTGGTAGAGAGTGATGTCGTCCTCCTTATCATAAACCTTCATGTAATAACCAAGCATAGGTGGTTGCACTACATTATGTATTGATACTGCATCGTAAAAGCCACTCATTGCTTATTAGAATACAACAAAAAACAAAAATTGCCCAGTAGGACAAAAAGAAAAAAAAATGATTTGTGGTCCTGATTTGAGTTTTTTTTTTAGTCCACATTGCCCCATTGGCTTTCAACTTTTCATATAAATCGCTACCAGTCATAAACAACTTCCTTGGGGGAAGGCTCAATGTTGTATATGTTCCTGTAGGAATATTTGGATTTGCCCATATTTGGTCTGAAGCATCCCTGTGCATCTAGCCCCCTTGGGTTAGAGGGGTGGGCCTCATAAGTGAAGCAGATACTTTTCCATTAGTTTAAATGAATCAATCTCAGCTTATTTATCCAAGTAAGCGATACAAGCCCAACAGGCCTCTTGTTTGAGGGGTAGAAATGGTCCTATGTAAGCATAGGAAATACTATTTCATATATGTAACGATTCTCTTTTACAGAAATATGCCTGATATAGACACACTTATGCAGGAATGGCCACCAGAATTTGAAGAATTACTTAAAGAGGTAGGTAATGTTTCTGGTCTTCAATGGTTTTCAAACTTAAGTAACCAGACGTCAGGATAATGATATTCATCAGTGAGACAATGCCTAGTGATAGGAAGAAATGGAAACTCTGTAATGTCGTTGATATGAAGAGTCATCCTTCAAATGTAGGAAACGCAGTTAAACAAATCAAGTGTGAAATACATAACATTGGAAAGATCAAGTACAAAAATATTGTTTTAAAGAAAAATATTGAGATATGACCTGAAACATTAATGTGATATATAGATATATATACCATACAAACTGATTGTCAAGGAAATATCTGCATATTGTCTGAATAAATCTATATAACTGAGTGGCTTTTTATCAAATTCAATCTTGTTCTATTTAGAACTTTTTCATAGAAATCATTCAGGTGTATGTTGCATGTATATGATTGATGAATTTTCTCGTGTACACAACTTGTTCTACTTTGATTTGTGTACTTCTTAGGTTGGTCTACCTACTGCAGAACTGGACTGTGATCTCGCAGAATATGTTGACTTAGTGTGTTGTAAGTGGTAGATGTCTTACAAGAAATGTAAACACTTTAGGACTATCAATAATGCACGATAATTTCAGTATGTAAATGTTGGTCATTATTCCTGTTCTAATTCATTTGTCACTGTTTGTGAGAATTTGTGTTTAAAGTGCATGTCTATGACATTGATGATAAACTCGTGAGTTTCTTCAGACATTTTCTAAGTTAATTGTAAACCGGGCTTACTAATTCATTTATCTACAAGAAGTACAAACAATTGTAGCCTTTATCTCCCATTAATTACACTAGCACCTTTTTTTTTGTTTTGTGGTTTTTTTTTGTCATGTGACTGATAAAATAAATCTTACATTACAGCTATATTGGATGTGCCTATATATAAAGGGTCTCCTCATAGGAATGAAAGGGTTCTAGCACTTCACGTCATCTTTACACTGTTCTCCGAGTTCAAAAATTCACAGGTAAATAAATAAAAGTTTTGTTATAATAATATGATATAAAGATTTGTAATGATTATTAAGTGCTGCAATAAAATATCAAATAAATCTCTGAAAGGAAAAAATAGGTGGAAATTTAAATCAGCTAATTTAACAATAAAATCATTACTGAAATAAAATATTGGTTTAGAGAATATTCTGTGAAGTAAATCCTCTTCTCTCATCATTGTTACTACCACTTCACCAAAAAAGGCTTGTAAAACAACATTTCTCATTGGAGTCATGACATCATATGTGGATTTTCTTGATGCTGTATTGCAGCATATCGTTAAGAACCAGAAATACCCGAATTCATGTTTAGATTGATTTCTGTCACTTTCAGAGTGATGGCCACTGTGTTGTACTTAAAGATATAAACATCATATTTTAAGCGTGTTTTATTCGTGATAGAGACCACTTTTTCTCGATTAAATTGAGTGTTGACTTTTCACTTGCCTGCATCATATTTAAGGAATCGTCCAAGCAAATTTTGTAATTCTCTTATAGGTGGTTTTTTTTTCAAAAGTAAAATTCTTTTCCATTTAAAAAAAAAAAAAAAAATGTTTGTCCTGAAGTGCTCATTGAATTCATTGTTTTAATGCCTAGAATGGTCACATATTTTAATTAAAACACCTATCGAGAGTATACGCAAGTCTTTTGTTTATAAAACATATACAAAATTTGTTGTTATTTTTCAGCATTTCCGAACACTTGCAGAGGAAAACAAACTAGACAACAATTTAAAGGAATCTAATAGTTTTGGAGGCGGAGCGGGATCAGAAGATAACAGACTGACTTTCTGATTCTGTTCATCATCATCATCATCATCATCAATAACATTGTCAAAAATAAGAAAGAATGAGAAGAAACAGAAATTAATGTAGAAGTGCATTTGTAGAAAAAAACATCGCAGATCAAACTTTTGTAATATGTTTTAAAATTCAGGAAGTAAGAAATTGCTATTTTAACTGAAAGGCAATCAAACTAGGCGTTGATTTTTATTAAAGTTCTACAGACTCTCCAATACGTTCTAAGGGATATATGGAAACATACGAATAACAAACATCTCTTTTAGAAAGAGCATTGTTTGGGAGCATGATTGGTAATGTTCTTTATTGACTATTTATAGATAGACTGGAAAGTGAACATTTGTTCTATCTAAGGAATTAGAAGAAATCTGAGAACTAGACATCAAAGTCTCACTGAGAGGGATTTACATACTGACTAGTATAGAGTAATATTACCTTTCCCATTCTAAAAGATTTCATTTTAGCTTTTCTTTGGAGAGAAAATAATATTTTGATATGAAATATTGCAAACTCCGTCCACTTATTTTTATAGGGGAATTATTATGCCTGTTATTTATACAGAAGAACTCTAGATCTCTAACAGAGTGATTTCTCTGATTTTCATTCTCCACCAAATGTATCTATGATTGAGTTACCAAAGGTTAAACCATGTAAATTTGGTGGAATTCTTTTTTCATAGATAAGTTGTCATTGTTGTTTTCACTGAAAACCACAAAATGTTATATAATTTGAAAATATTTTGTATTTATTGAAAAAAAATTTAAAAGATCTGAGAATTCATTTAGATAAAACTTTGTACAAAAGCTGATGTCTTGTCTGTTTTTCTGTACTGTACACACCTCTCTGTTTTACAGGAACGCTCTCTCTTTCATTTTATCCGTCCTTAAACTCAAGGGATTACGTTCATTTTGCTCTCTGTACCCCTGGAACCATCCTCAATACCCTAGGGTTTATGATCATTTTTGCTCTCTGCACAAGACACTAGCAAAGTAATTTGATTTGTTTAGAGCAGATTCCAGGAGAAAAAGACTGACCAATCACAAACTCGTACACTCCTTTGGAGATTACAAAGGAGCATCACCCAACTTCAAAGTCCATACAATTACAGTTATGGGAGCTAGAGATTTGTTTGATGTACATCAGAAGATCAAACTAGTCTTTTTGTCTTGTCCACAAGGTTTGGCATTTAGAAAATTAAATTTTGCCATGAATGTTCTAGGGGTGCAGAGCGGATATTGAGTGTAACACCTGGAATGACATGAATGTTCTAGGGGTGCAGAGCGGATATTGAGTGTAACACCTGGAATGACATGAATGTTCTAGGGGTGCAGAGAGGATATTGAGTGTAACACCTGGAATGACATGAATGTTCTAGGGGTGCAGAGAGGATATTGAGTGTAACACCTGGAATGACATGAATGTTCTAGGGGTGCAGAGAGGATATTGAGTGTAACACCTGGAATGACATGAATGTTCTAGGGGTGCAGAGAGGATATTGAGTGTAACACCTGGAATGACATGAATGTTCTAGGGGTGCAGAGAGGATATTGAGTGTAACACCTGGAATGACATGAATGTTCTAGGGGTGCAGAGAGGATATTGAGTGTAACACCTGGAATAACATGAATGTTCTAGGGGTGCGGAGCAGATATTGAGTGTAACACCTGGAATAACATGAATGTTCTAGGGGTGCAGAGAGGATATTGAGTGTAACACCTGGAATAACATGAATGTTCTAGGGGTGCGGAGCAGATATTGAGTGTAACACCTGGAATAACATGAATGTTCTAGGGGTGCAGAGAGGATATTGAGTGTAACACCTGGAATAACATGAATGTTCTAGGGGTGCAGAGAATTGAGGTGAAGTATTGAGGATGATCTTTGGGGAACAGAGGGGTGATGAGTGAAACATTTGGAGAATGGAGGGTGGTTCAGGGGTGAAGAGAAGTAGTGAGTATTCCCTGGAGTATGGAGTGTGGTTCAGGGGTGAAGAGAGAAGTAGTGAGTATTCCCTAGAGTATGGAGGGTGGTTCAGGGGTGAAGAGAGAAGTAGTGAGTATTCCCTAGAGTATGGAGGGTGGTTCAGGGGTGAAGAGAATTAGTGAGTATTCCCTGGAGTATGGAGGGTGGTTCAGGGGTGAAGAGAGAAGTAGTGAGTATTCCCTGGAGTATGGAGGGTGGTTCAGGGGTGAAGAGAGAAGTAGTGAGTATTCCCTGGAGTATGGAGGGTGGTTCAGGGGTGAAGAGAGAAGTAGTGAGTATTCCCTAGAGTATGGAGGGTGGTTCAGGGGTGAAGAGAAGTAGTGAGTATTCCCTAGAGTATGGAGGGTGGTTCAGGGGTGAAGAGAAGTAGTGAGTATTCCCTAGAGTATGGAGGGTGGTTCAGGGGTGAAGAGAGAAGTAGTGAGTATTCCCTGGAGTATGGAGGGTGGTTCAGGGGTGAAGAGAGAAGTAGTGAGTATTCCCTAGAGTATGGAGGGTGGTTCAGGGGTGAAGAGAGAGTAGTGAGTATGGAGGGTGGTTCATTCCCTAGAGTATGGAGGGTGGTTCAGGGGTGAAGAGAGAAGTAGTGAGTATTCCCTGGAGTATGGAGGGTGGTTCAGGGGTGAAGAGAGAAGTAGTGAGTATTCCCTAGAGTATGGAGGGTGGTTCAGGGGTGAAGAGAGAAGTAGATTCCCTAGAGTATGGAGGGTGGTTCAGGGTGAAGAGAAGTAGAGTATTCCCTAGAGTATGGAGGGTGGTTCAGGGGTGAAGAGAGAAGTAGTGAGTATTCCCTAGAGTATGGAGGGTGGTTCAGGGGTGAAGAGAGAAGTAGTGAGTATTCCCTAGAGTATGGAGGGTGGTTCAGGGGTGAAGAGAGAAGTAGTGAGTATTCCCTGGAGTATGGAGGGTGGTTCAGGGGTGAAGAGAGAAGTAGTGAGTATTCCCTAGAGTATGGAGTGTGGTTCAGGGGTGAAGAGAGAAGTAGTGAGTATTCCCTAGAGTATGGAGGGTGGTTCAGGGGTGAAGAGAGAAGTAGTGAGTATTCCCCTAGAGTATGGAGGGTGGTTCAGGGGTGAAGAGAGAAGTAGTGAGTATTCCCTGGAGTATGGAGGGTGGTTCAGGGGTGAAGAGAGAAGTAGTGAGTATTCCCTGGAGTATGGAGGGTGGTTCAGGGGAGAAGTGAAGAGAGAAGTAGAGAGAAGTGAGTATTCCCTAGAGTATGGAGGGTGGTTCAGGGGTGAAGAGAGATGTAGTGAGTATTCCCTAGAGTATGGAGGGTGGTTCAGGGGTGAAGAGAGAAGTAGTGAGTATTCCCTGGAGTATGGAGGGTGGTTCAGGGGTGAAGAGAAGTAGTGAGTATTCCCTGGAGTATGGAGGGTGGTTCAGGGGTGAAGAGAGAAGTAGTGAGTATTCCCTGGAGTATGGAGGGTGGTTCAGGGGTGAAGAGAAGTAGTGAGTATTCCCTGGAGTATGGAGGGTGGTTCAGGGGTGAAGAGAGAAGTAGTGAGTATTCCCTAGAGTATGGAGGGTGGTTCAGGGGTGAAGAGAGAAGTAGTGAGTATTCCCTGGAGTATGGAGGGTGGTTCAGGGGTGAAGAGAGAAGTAGTGAGTATTCCCTGGAGTATGGAGGGTGGTTCAGGGGTGAAGAGAGAAGTAGTGAGTATTCCCTAGAGTATGGAGGGTGGTTCAGGGGTGAAGAGAGAAGTAGTGAGTATTCCCTGGAGTATGGAGGGTGGGGGTGAAGAGAGAAGTGGTTCAGGGGTGAAGAGAGAAGTAGTGAGTATTCCCTAGAGTATGGAGGGTGGTTCAGGGGTGAAGAGAGAAGTAGTGAGTATTCCCTAGAGTATGGAGGGTGGTTCAGGGGTGAAGAGAGAAGTAGTGAGTATTCCCTAGAGTATGGAGGGTGGTTCAGGGGTGAAGAGAGAAGTGTGTATCAGAGTATGGAGGGTGGTTGAAGAGAGAAGTAGTGAGTATTCCCTAGAGTATGGAGGGTGGTTCAGGGGTGAAGAGAAGTAGTGAGTATTCCCTAGAGTATGGAGGGTGGTTCAGGGGTGAAGAGAGAAGTAGTGAGTATTCCCTGGAGTATGGAGGGTGGTTCAGGGGTGAAGAGAAGTAGTGAGTATTCCATAGAGTATGGAGGGTGGTTCAGGGGTGAAGAGAAGTAGTGAGTATTCCCTAGAGTATGGAGGGTGGTTCAGGGGTGAAGAGAGAAGTAGTGAGTATTCCCTAGAGTATGGAGGGTGGTTCAGGGGTGAAGAGAGAATATTCCCTAGAGTATGGAGGGTGGTTCAGGGGTGTAGAGAGAAGTAGTGAGTATTCCCTGGAGTATGGAGGGTGGTTCAGGGGTGAAGAGAGAAGTAGTGAGTATTCCCTGGAGTATGGAGGGTGGTTCAGGGGTGAAGAGAGAAGTAGTGAGTATTCCATAGAGTATGGAGGGTGGTTCAGGGGTGAAGAGAGAAGTAGTGAGTATTCCCTAGAGTATGGAGGGTGGTTCAGGGGTGAAGAGAGAAGTAGTGAGTATTCCCTAGAGTATGGAGGGTGGTTCAGGGGTGAAGAGAGAAGAGTGAGTATTCCCTGGAGTATGGAGGGTGGTTCTGAGGTGTAGAGAAGTAGTGAGTATTCCCTGGAGTATGGAGGGTGGTTCAGGGGTGAAGAGAGAAGTAGTGAGTATTCCCTGGAGTATGGAGGGTGGTTCAGGGGTGAAGAGAAAGTAGTGAGTATTCCCTAGAGTATGGAGGGTGGTTCAGGGGTGAAGAGAGAAGAAGTATTCCCTGGAGTATGGAGGGTGGTTCAGGGGTGAAGAGATGGAGGGTGGTTCAGGGGTGAGAGAGAAGTAGTGAGTATTCCCTAGAGTATGGAGGGTGGTTCAGGGGTGAAGAGAGAAGTAGTGAGTATTCCCTAGAGTATGGAGGGTGGTTCAGGGGTGAAGAGAGAAGTAGTGAGTATTCCCTAGAGTATGGAGGGTGGTTCAGGGGTGAAGAGAGAAGTAGTGAGTATTCCCTAGAGTATGGAGGGTGGTTCAGGGGTGTAGAGAGAAGTAGTGAGTATTCCCTAGAGTATGGAGGGTGGTTCAGGGGTGTAGAGAGAAGTAGTGAGTATTCCCTGGAGTATGGAGGGTGGTTCAGGGGTGAAGAGAGAAGTAGTGAGTATTCCCTAGAGTATGGAGGGTGGTTCAGGGGTGAAGAGAGAAGTAGTGAGTATTCCCTAGAGTATGGAGGGTGGTTCAGGGGTGAAGAGAAGTAGTGAGTATTCCCTGGAGTATGGAGGGTGGTTCAGGGGTGAAGAGAGAAGTAGTGAGTATTCCATAGAGTATGGAGGGTGGTTCAGGGGTGAAGAGAGAAGTAGTGAGTATTCCCTGAGTATTCCATAGAGTATGGAGTATGGAGGGTGGTTCAGGAGTGAAGAGAAGTAGTGAGTATTCCCTAGAGTATGGAGGGTGGTTCAGGAGTGAAGAGAAGTAGTGAGTATTCCCTAGAGTATGGAGGGTGGTTCAGGGGTGAAGAGAGAAGTAGTGAGTATTCCCTAGAGTATGGAGGGTGGTTCAGGAGTGAAGAGAAGTAGTGAGTATTCCCTGGAGTATGGAGGGTGGTTCAGGGGTGAAGAGAGAAGTAGTGAGTATTCCCTAGAGTATGGAAGGTGGTTCAGGGGTGAAGAGAGAAGTAGTGAGTATTCCCTGGAGTATGGAGGGTGTTCCAGGGTTAACCTGAGGACAACCTCACTACTTGTCATATTTAACAGAGGAACACTACGATACTAATGGCCATCTTCCCATGGAGGAAACTCTCAAATTAATCGATCTTCATAGTGCTTGTTTCCGTGGCAATACTACTACATCAGCTTCTGTCGAAAATTTAAACACATTTTGAAACAAAATAAAAAAAATTGTGGAACTTTTCAGCCACCTGACACAGATTATGAAATGTTGATCCTCGATACCATTTTGGTCTAAATTTGCTCGGTGTTAAGCGAGTAGAGATGGAGAACCTATAGCGTCTTCGTGTCGGTTTTATTCTTCATCACTGTAGTGAAAACTGTGAGAGTTACCTCCCTTGGTTGGAACTGATTTTCTGGTGTGTACACGTCACTTGTTGGTTAGTAGTTGGAAGCTAGAGGGTTGTATGTGTGTGTACCACACACCGAAATCCTCTACAGCACCACGACTTTCGACTAACCCTCGAAACTGCCATAAAAAGAACTGTCGGAAATGAAAACTGTATTTGTAGATGTGAAATATGTAGCCATAAAAATAAGGTTATGTAATAATTCCAATCGTACGAATTATAAATCTGGAGATACTTTATTAATAAATATACAATTACATTTTGTACATCAAATTGATAGAAATACGACGTAACTTTGTCTCTGTTTTTCCCTTTTTCAAATAACCGTCCGCTGACGTGAAGCTGTAATCGTTTAGTACGAAATCGGATATTTTTCTATTGACGCCATCACTGCATGACGTCATTGACTACAAATTTATGTGCGATCCTTATGTGGTCGGTAGTTAAACAAAAATGACAAAATGAAGATGAGAATCAATATTACATGAAATAAAAGTAAACATAAACATTGGTTCGGTGAAATATTATACTCAAATGTTCATTATTGTCTTTATTCATATTTTTGTAATAAAAAATTGTTAAAAGCGTGATTGTTCACCATCACCGGGCGATTTTACATTTAATATGGGTGTCAGGACTACAGGTTTTATATCTCAACGGCAAAGTTATCAAGTTCAACCTGATACAATATTTTTTTTCTATAAAAATCGTCTTTTTCAAGAATTGGAACGATATATAATGAACCAAATCAAACATACTGAAAAGTACACATGGGAGAATCTGTCTGTCCGTCTGTCTGTCTGTCTGTCTGTCTGTCTGTTTGTCTGTCTGTGTGTCCGTCTGTCTGTTTGTCTGTCTTTGACTGTATCATACTGTAGCAAGATGAATACTGTTTGACATATGTCGTTTCATTATAATGGAAAGCCAGAGTTTCCTGAGTGGATGATTGATCTAGTCAATTTATCAGTAAGAACGATCGGACTTGAGCAAGGCTATAATAAGTATTATTTTTACTCAAGTCCAACAACTGTTTACAAGGGCATTCAACCACCCTTAAAAGTCAAGAGAGATAATTCTCCATCACAGCGATTCCTTGGAGACGTAGAAGTACACGACCGTCATGAAGTTTGTTCCAACTTTTGATCAGGCTTATTAAAGTATACGTCATCTTCTTCAGGTATCAACATAAGTTCTGGAAAAAGGAAATGATATCTTAGTACTGTATAAACAAGGACGGTCTCCATTTTAAAAATGAATTATTTGGAAGAGACTAGACTTTCGCAATCAACACATGGAGGTAATACTTACAAGTATTAGTACATCCCAGAAACGCTTAAAACCAGTAGCAAAATCGCTGCCCAACAAAGACCTGAAATGAATCAGATTCGTAAAAAATGGAGAAAAAAAAAACAGATTCAATATCAATCACATTAAAACACATCGATGAAAAATCAAAGTTTAGGGCATTCAAGAAAGCATGGTATATCTCCGCACGGGTTCTCCTTTTCACAAAATAATACTTACTGATACAAAAAAGATCGAACTTCTGAGTTACAATACCAGACTATTGAACAATGTGCCCCTCTGTTGGCTGACCTGTTTTTGTTTTCATACGAGGCTGAATTCATCGAAGAGATTATCAAAACAGTCTCAAAGACTTTTCAAAGTCGTTTAATTTCACTTTCACTTAAATTGATGATGTCATGTCTTTAAATTGAAAGGAAATTATAGAAATTAATTGACCACGTTTATCGTATATATCCGCAAACATTAGAAACTAAGGAGACGATAGACTCTTCTACATAAGCCGCTTGTCTCGATCTTTTTCTACAACTAAACCAACATAGACAGCTTTCCATCAAGTTGTATAATAAGTGTCATTATTTCAATCTCCCTATTGTGAATTTTCCATTTTGGATATCAACATTCCTTCGTCCCCAACATATGGTGTTTACATGTTGCAGTCGATTCTATGATCAAGTGCCTGTACCTATCGTCACGTTTTTCGTGCAAGAAGTCATCAACTGGCGGAGAACTCGTAACACAAGGTTTCCAATAATGCAGGTTGATCAAAATTATGGGGACGGTTTACCGTCGGCGTAGTAATATCATTGAGAAATATTCCATTTCGTTGTGCGATATGAAGCTGGACGTGTTTGATGCTCATTGGCTCTGTTGTTGTATACTTTGTTCTCATTTGAGAACATGACATTACTTACTTGGATTGACCAAGGTTTATATGGCGGGTGTCGTCCGTGAAGCAGAAGACGCTTACTCTTCCGGAACACATCGACTTAATCTCCTTATACTTGTTAAGGGATTTCCGTGGAAGTTTTTCTTTTGTTCATAATTCGCTCTATATTTACAGAATTTGCCTTTGGATTATGATGGCATGTTGGTATTTTCTTGTTTTTGTTTAATTCTTATGTTACCTATCATCAAATAGGATTCTAAGGGAAAGGCACCTCGATTAGGGAATGAATTTGATAATCTGGAAGTTATGAAATTTACAGTTTTGACAAACAAGCTTAGTACCAGTCCATCCATGAGATATTTTCAAGTTTCCGTTAAACAATTACATATTGTACACTCATGGACTGTACACAGTGGATTCAAGCACGTTAGCAACAGGGATGTCATTCGTTGTTTAACAATAAATTTGATAATAATACAAGGTTTTCATTTTTATTTCTCATTTTCATTTCATTATCAACTTTTTGCCCATCAGTACAATATGTGAACACACATATATATATGGAATACCGGAAACAAAACAAAGGAAGTGAAGAATGGAGTAAGAAATCAAGTAGTTTAATTAGTTGACAAAATTCCTTGGATTTTTTTTACACAACAGAGATTCTTTTTGGTTCAAGGTCAAATATTTGAACGTGTCTAGCATTCGAAACACAAACCTTAGCATGGCCAACCTTGAGAGACAGAAATGAACTTGATACTTACGGAAACGACCAGCCCCACTTGCTGGTGTGACACCTGAGGACTTTGGTTCTGAAACACAGTATAGAGAAATACATAGTGAAATACCAGCCTGTAAACACATAACCACAAACAAATTGTCTCTGTTATATAAAATACGGAAGAAAGGTTTGTTTTACTGCGCTTGTAGTCCGAACTATTATTAGAATGACACTGTGTCTATTCTTTAACCTTACCCACCACTTATACCGTTTTCCTATATGAATGGCTGACCGCAACATCCGTATACGTGTATTTGTAAAATTGATTCCATAATAACGATGTTTGATTGATGTTGATTAACTTTCTCACAATACCTCCGCGGAATATAAGTAAACTTTTGTGCTTGATTAATTACCTGTTGTTATGGAGAATTCACTTTTGTAGGGGGCGCCACCACATGCATATGTCCCGTTAACTTCACACACAAACATTGTCATGGTATCGGCGTCTGTCACGTTGTACACGAGTGTGGATGTCCTCTTAAATTCACAGTTTCCGGAAGCCATGGCTGGAAATTCTGTAACGGCTGACGTCACTTCCTGGTACGTTCCATCTTCTTGTTTCCAGCACCACCGGATGTTGCCTGCAGGACTGCCTACAGAACCACTGCACGTGATATTTAGAGTTGTTTCATTGGTTACCAGTCCGTTTTCATTTATCGTTCCCGATACCGCTGTTGCCATTATCGGGTTCATCTGACTAGGTGAAGCTAAACGTGAGTGAAAAAACATACATAACATGAATTCCTGTAATATTATGTAAGTATCGTAAATGTAGGCCTTCCTCTACCAATCGACAGGTCAATTCTGGTCACGAAATATTTGTGTATTAAACATAAGCTTTACAACCAGTAATAAACTCTCTCAAAAAATCCAAAAGTTAAAATCAGTTATCATATCTAGATTATTTTAACAACAATACAAGAGAGAGTTCTATGTTGGGGGGAATACTGTCACTTATGGTTTCCCACAAAGATCGATGCTTACCCAATCTCTCCCAGAATGCGGTACCCCAACATGTATTGTGACCGTTAAGGAACGACTACTCTGGTAGAAACTGATGCTTAACAACTGATCCTTAAACCTACATGATACAAAACGTCTTACAGATCAAGACCAGGCCCCACTTGTATAAAATATCTCAACTTGAAATTTCCTCAAGTCGAGATTTTCCTCAGCTAATATCTCCTTGAAAATATCTTGTATGAAAATTCCTCAAGGAATTTCAGGAAATCCTAGCCGATGCCTTCCTCCTGTTCCTTGAGAAAATTTTATAGAAGCCGTTTTCGAGGAGATATCAACTGAGGAAATTTCGAGTTGAGGAAATCTCAAGTTGAGATGCTTTATACAAGTGGGGCCAGGAGTTTAAGCTAGAGTGGAACTACAACGGTGAAGACAAATATACTTCGCGGTGTCGATGGAAGTTTAAACCACATCTTGTCTGATAACTTTCAATATATCAAATATCAATTATAAGGAACGTTTGAAAGAACAACGTCTGCAACAAAAATGTTACCTATGGCATCAATCATTTTTTCGTCATTTAAAACGGCCACACCTCCTGGCGTCATCACATAGGCGGTACACCTGTAGGTAGAGCTGTCGTTACACTCAGTGTTGGTGAGGTTGAGCTCGAGCACAGTAGACTGGACAGTGTCCAGATATCCAAAAGCAGATCCGCGTGATTCTAATGTCGAGTCCTGCCATTGAACGACACTTCCGCTAATGGTCCGGTTATAATCAACAGACACGATCTTGGACTCCTCAGAACCCAATGTTGCCCTGGCATCTCTGTAAAACTGCACAAATAATAAGTCGAAATTATTTACCCAGAATGCCGTGATCATCTCTGTAAAACAGTACAAAAATAAGTCTATGGTATTTACCCGGAATGCCATGAGTGACTAAACACATCAGGTTCCACTGACTGAAGTAGTCGACACCTACACATAACCGTAACTTTCAAACATTAAAAACATGGAGATACAATGTCAGTTATATATGAAATGTTACATACCTTACAATGAATATACAATTCATCCACAGTTTACCGTATACCAAAAATCAAAGGAAGTATAATATATATATCGACAAGGCTTTTTGCAACAAAGATGGATCATGGGAGCATTATGAAAAATACATAAACTATCTTTTCACCAATCAGAGACTTCTATGATCACGTCATACCTGAATACTTGTGATATCGGATATCCCCGTCACATCCGAGATTTCACATCTCATGGATAGGTCTGACTTCCCAATTTCCAGAGTATCGGGCGCCGTAAGTGTAGCTGCCTGTCCAAATACTAGAAAAATCAAATACAAAAATTACTTCCAATTCGAAGGAAAGAAATTAAACAAAAAAACAGAGTGACTATACTACATGACTAAAGTCTCTCCTGAGAACAGAGTGACTGTTCTACACGAGACTAAAGTCTCTCCTTACTACAGAGTGACTGTACTACACGAGACTAAAGTCTCTCCTTTGAACAGAGTGACTGTACTACACGAGATTAAAGTCTCTCCTTAGAACAGAGTGACTCTACTACACGAGATTAAAGTCTCTCCTTAGAACAGAGTGACTCTACTACACGAGACTGAAGTCTCTCCTTAGAACAGAGTGACTCTACTACACGAGACTGAAGTCTCTCCTTAGAACATAGTGACTCTACTACACGAGACTGAAGTCTCTCCTTAGTACAGAGTGACTGTACTACACGAGACTAAAGTCTCTCCTTAGAACAGAGTGACTGTACTACACGAGATTAAAGTCTCTCCTTAGAACAGAGTGACTGTACTACACGAGACTGAAGTCTCTCCTTAGAACAGAGTGACTGTACTACACGAGACTAAAGTCTCTCCTTTGAACAGAGTGACTGTACTACACGAGATTAGTCTCTCCTTTGACTCTCTCCTTAGAACAGAGTGACTGACTACACGAGATGTCTCTCCTTAGAACAGAGTGACTGAGACTAAGTCTCTCCTTAGAACAGAGTGACTCTCTCTCCTTAGAACAGAGTGACTGTACTACACGAGATTAAAGTCTCTCCTTAGAACAGAGTGACTGTACTACACGAGACTAAAGTCTCTCCTTAGAACAGAGTGACTCTACTACACGAGATTAAAGTCTCTCCTTAGAACAGAGTGACTGTACTACACGAGATTAAAGTCTCTCCTTAGAACAGAGTGACTCTACTACACGAGACTGAAGTCTCTCCTTAGAACAGAGTGACTGTACTACACGAGACTGAAGTCTCTCCTTAGAACAGAGTGACTCTACTACAGAACAGAGAACAGAGTGACTCTACTACACGAGACTGAAGTCTCTCCTTAGAACAGAGTGACTCTACTACACGAGACTGAAGTCTCTCCTTAGAACAGAGTGACTGTACTACACGAGACTGAAGTCTCTCCTTAGAACAGAGAAGTCTCTCCTTAGAACAGAGTGACTGTACTACACGAGACTGAAGTCTCTCCTTAGAACAGAGTGACTGTACTACACGAGACTAAAGTCTCTCCTTTGAACAGAGTGACTCTCCTTAGAACAGTACTACACGAGACTGAAGTCTCTCCTTAGAACAGAGTGACTGTACACGACACTCTCCTTAGAGACTAAAGTCTCTCCTTAGAACAGAGTGACTGTACTACACGAGACTAAAGTCTCTCCTTTGAACAGAGTGACTGTACTACACGAGACTAAAGTCTCTCCTTAGAACAGAGTGACTGTACTACACGAGACTGAAGTCTCTCCTTAGAACAGAGTGACTGTACTACACGAGACTGAAGTCTCTCCTTTGAACAGAGTGACTCTACTACACGAGACTAAAGTCTCTCCTTAGAACAGAGTGACTGTACTACACGAGACTGAAGTCTCTCCTTAGAACAGAGTGACTGTACTACACGAGACTGAAGTCTCTCCTTACTACACGAGACTTCTCTCCTTAACAGAGACTGACTACACGAGACTACTCTCCTTACAGAGTGACTGTAGACTGAAGTCTCTCCTTAGAACAGAGTGACTGTACTACACGAGACTGAAGTCTCTCCTTAGAACAGAGTGACTGTACTACACGAGACTGAAGTCTCTCCTTAGAACAGAGTGACTGGACTACACGAGACTGAAGTCTCTCCTTAGAACAGAGTGACTCTACTACACGAGACTGAAGTCTCTCCTTAGAACAGAGTGACTGTACTACACGAGACTGAAGTCTCTCCTTAGAACAGAGTGACTGTACTACACGAGACTGAAGTCTCTCCTTAGAACAGAGTGACTCTACTACACGAGACTGAAGTCTCTCCTTACTACAGAGTGACTGTACTACACGAGACTGAAGTCTCTCCTTAGAACAGAGTGACTGTACTACACGAGACTGAAGTCTCTCCTTAGAACAGAGTGGATGTTGTTACTCAGACTAACCAAGTACCGTTTGCTTTAAATTTGTGTAAGTTCAACATTAAAACCATTACTTATCTAGATTAACTGTATTTGTTTGGGTTTTTTAGGTACCATTTTAAAAGTATCGTTTGTGCGTAAGCCCGATCGCGTTACCAATGAGACACCCGGATACTGTTTTAATATAATGAAATTTTATTAATGCAAATAGTCACCATCTAAACTAATTATACATGTTGATATTAAGATGAACTATGTAAATGCTTGGTAACAAATACCTTGGTTGGAACCATTCATCACAATAAAGAGAACAATGGCGACGCCCAGGTATATAAATTTCCAATTTTACAGATCGTGTCTCTTCTATCACAACAAAACACCCATAAAACTCTCCATGTCTACAAACATTATTATCAAAATATGTCCCGATCTTATCGTCGCCATGTTTACTTTAAAAATTTACAGTGCCAAGTGACAACGCAAAATATTTCAACATTTCTTCGTATTTTCACAAGACAAAATGTCCTCTATTTGATTCCGTGACTAATGGCCTTGTTATTTTTAAAGTCGGCGGTAAAATTTGTTATCTCTGTCATCGCAACACGTGAATCATGAAATTTATGAGAACATTATCCGAAAGTCTGTAGAAGATAACACAGTTTAATAAATGTAATCACAAAGTAAGAGGTTGATCAGAAAGTTACTATATTCCAGGATTTCTCTCCACCATGCACCAATCCCATTCCCTGTTCCTCCTAGGAGAAATAGCAACAAAATTATTCTGTGTCCAGACTTAAACTGCACACCATAGATTCTGTATTAAAGTTACAATAATGTGACCAGATTTTGCCGTTCTAGCACCTCGTTCTGAGAAACTGATCCACACTTGTTGACATCGAAGAAAAACTACAAAACAAGATTATCCAAAATTTGATCGGGCCAAATGAGCCCAAAGCACAAATCATATTTTAAAACTTTATTTTATGAAAGATGTGTACCGAAAAATCAAGTCACTTTAAAAACCGAAAGCACAAAACATATTTTAAAAACTTTATTTGATGGAAAATGTGTACAAAATGTCAAGTCACTTTAAAAACTATTTGCGAAATCTAGAAAATCTCCAATCGCCCCCAAAAAGAAAAATTAAAAACACTGTTTGTTTCCTATTTTGAAATAAAACACAAACATTAAAAAAAACGAAAAACAGTATGCAAGATATAATAACAAGACAGCGCGCCGGAACATCACGAAGAAGCAAATAAAACAAAACAAAACACTAATTAACCTGAGCAGAAAACAGGTCTGGGCGCGATTCTTTTGTCGTGAAGTTAATCCTGAAGTAAATAACACGTACAAGCTTGTTCCGCTTCTTTTAACGTTTCTTAATTTACATTACGCATAAAATTGCTCCTCAACTTCGATCGGGATATAAATAGTTATTGGTACACAAACAGCTATAAACTTCAGTCGGTCAACAAGTTTACGATGTCCAGTATTTTATTGTGCCATCAAAGTGAGGTCTATATTATGCGAGCTACTTGGTGCCCAGTGTTAGAATGCATTCGTAACTAGATGACCGATTCCGTACCTTATCTCACAAGACAACCTGATGACGTCACTTCCCGTGAAATCCATTGTAGGTATCGCTGTCTCAAATAGTGAAAAATCTAAAAGATATTCTTAAGAAAGATCCAACCAATTTTCCTGTAGACAGAAAATATGTCTTTGAAATGATTCCAAGTTAATATTCACATTTATTAACTGTTATCTGATATTTGACATTTTTATAAAAAAAATTTTTAGTTTTTTGATTAGAGAGCAATTTTTGGTCTAGTTTTCCTGTTGTATTGTTTCAATTCGATAAAACAGTTTGTAAATTTATGGCAATCTAACAATCAGTACACAAATATAAGAATCTTTGGGAAAGGAATCAGCCTGTTCTCCCGTTACATGATTGTGTTAAATTGTTGGAACTTAAATACTAATATTATTTAAACTAAAATATGTTTCAATAACTAGAGCAGACCAAACAGATACATGTAGTATTACAATACAGTAACTTAGAATAAATCTTGTGGCATAATTAATACGGAACGAATTTGCGCTTAATTAATCCGGAACGAACTTGCGCTTCATTAATCCGGAAAGAACTTGCGCTTCATTAATCCGGAAAGAACTTGCACTTCATTAATCCGGAACGAACTTGCGCTTAATTAATCCGGAACGAACTTGCGCTTCATTAATCCGGAAAGAACTTGCGCTTCATTAATCCGGAACGAACTTCCGCTTAATTAATCCGGAACGAACTTAGTGAAACAATGAATTGTAATGAATGGTTTAACAACAATAACTGACCACAGTAAGAAATATCAATGAGTAACCTAGCTGACTCAGAACACACCATAGACGAAGCTGTATTTTGCCAATGACGAAATTTTAAAAATGGCGAGCTTTCCGCACTCATGACTTTCTGACTAATGCCAGAATGCATTTTACATTTTAAGACACTGACTATTATTCTATTCATCCTGCAACACCTTGACTGAAAAAACAGAATTTTAGGTCATGATTCTTTCCATACGTTGGTGTTTCTTTGTTGTTGTTTTTCTACATATCTGTCGAAATTTCCACTGTCTATTGCGGTGTCTGTGTAAAGTGTGCCAGTGTTTGTGACGTCATAAAGTGATGACGAAACCATACCGTGAGTGTTTACGACAGGACAGACTGCAGGAAATAGGACCTTTTTACATATATAGTGTGACACTCACATTTCATATAGATATCTGTTTACACGGACAAGTATAAAAGACTAGAGTACTGTGAAATTCTATGACATCAACCTTTAGGTAAAGATTTTTAAGTAGACAAACATTAGGACTGCCGCGTGTCTCCCAATAAAGTCATCATATAATTAACCACCAGCTCAACAGTGTTGATGACCTTTCTAACCTCAGCTAATAATTAAATCCTTGGCATTGTTGATACGATGTTATTGAGTTTGAATCGTGATGTCAGTAATTTATTGCTATGAAATCATACAACTATTGTCCAGGGCAAACTCATGTCTCCCCTAGGGTATGACACGGAATTTTCATCATAATTAAGGCGTAGGTATCCTTGATGAAAGACAGGTTTGATCTCAAGGTCCAAGTGAGACGTATTGGGGATTATCCGGGAAATGGTATTTGTTACCCGATAAACTTTATCGAAGTTTACTAATGAGACTGTAACTTATGTTAACCAGGAGACGGTGTCTGAGGTTTCCCGGGAGAATTTATTTCGTGTTATCTGGGAAACAGTATCTGAGCTTACCAGATAATCGGTTTACTAGGGAGAGAGTATCTGAGGTTACACGGGAGACAGTAACTGAGGTTACCTGGGAGACAGTATCGGAGGTTACCCGGGAGACAGCATCGGAGGTAACCCGGGAGACAGTAACTGAGGTTACTCGGGAGACAGTAAATGAGGTTACCCGGGAGACAGTATCTGGGGTTACAGGGGGGGCAGTAAAGTTGCTGGAGTGTAGATGTAGATGTATGATTTATTACGTCCTAGATCAGTGGGATAATGATACAACCATTCTCTTAAAAAGGAATAAAAATTGACAATTAGCAATTGAAGGTATTCGTAAACGTGCCTGAACGACAACTTTTCGATGATAACCATCCATGCGTTACTATTTCAGTGATGTCATACAGGTGTCTTAACTTTATCGACTAAAACAAGCCTCCCACACACTCTGATCTATCATGCTGTGTGAATCAGACAGAGAATTAATTTACACTCAGACAGGGGAGGAAGTCCTAAAGGTTTAGAAAAGTTCACGACCTGGACTTCACACAAGTTAAAGCATTAGTCATTATTGTCGCGTGGTATCAGTAAGGTTGGGATGGGGAGGGGGGTGTTGTTACATCCACATTCCTTTCCCCATTCGCCTACTTTCACCTGCTAAAAGATTACGGACGTGGCGTTAGTTTCGTAGTCAATAAATAAATAAGAGCTAGTTTGTGTTTAAATGATTCATAATCATTCAATATAGAATAGCCAGATACATAAGGTTCCTTACTGTCTGCCATTACCGTATGTCTGAGAGAGCGGTGTAGGGGTATGTTTGTTTCTGAGTGGAGGGCCTGGGTTACCATAACAACACAAAATAACTATACATTACTAAAGGTACAACGACTCCGGGAAAATGTTGGTTACAAATCATCTGTTGACACAGAGATTTTGGGTTACATGGTTACCAATGGTTGCCAATGATACACAGACTCAGGGAAACTATGAGTTACCAATGATACACAGACTCAGGGAAACTATGGGTTACTAATGATACAGAGACTCAGGGAAACTATGGGTTACCAATAATACACAGACTAAGGGAAACTATGGGTTACCAATGATACACAGACTAAGGGAAACTATGGGTTACCAATGATACACAGACTCAGGGAAAATATGGGTTACCAGTGATACACAGTCTCATGGAAAATATGGGTTACCAATGATACACAGACTCAGGGAAACTATGGGTTACCAATGATACACAGACTCAGGGAAACTATGGGTTACCAATGATACACAGACTCAGGGAAACTATGAGTTACCAATGATACACAGACTCAGGGAAACTATGGGTTACCAATGATACACAGACTCAGGGAAACTATGGGTTACCAATGATACACAGACTCAGGGAAACTATGGGTTACCAATGATACACACACTCGGGGAAACTGTGGGTTACCAATGATACACAGACTCAGGGAAACTATGGGTTACCAATGATACACAGACTCAGGGAAACTGTGGGTTACCAATGATACACAGAATCATGGAAACTATGGGTTACCAATGATACAGAGACGCACATGGAAAATATGGGTTACCAGTGATACACAGACTCAGGGAAACTATGGGTTACCAATGATACAGAGACGCGCGAGGAAAATATGGGTTACCAGTGAAACAGTGACTCAGGGAGACTATGGGTTACCAATGATACACAGACTCAGGGAGACTATGGGTTACCAATGATACACAGACTCATGAAAACCATGGGTTACCAATGATACAGAGACTCAGGGAAACTATGGGTTACCAGTGATATACAGTCTCATGGAAAATATGGGTTACCTATGATACAGTGACTCAGGGAGACTATGGGTTACCAATGATACACAGACTCAGGGAAACTATGGGTTACCAATGATACACAGACTCATGGAAAATATGGGTTACCTATGATACAGTGACTCAGGGAGACTATGGGTTACCAGTGATACAGTGACTCCGCAAAACTATGGGTTACCAGTGATACAGTGACTCAGGGAGACTATGGGTTACCAATGATACAGTGACTCCGCAAAACTATGGGTTACCTATGTCAAAGAGACCACAGGAAACACTTGCCTACTATTGTAACAAAGACTCCGGGAAACTGCTGGTTACTAATGTTAGAACAGAAAGGGAGAGTTTTCAATGGCAGGGTAAAGTAAGGAAAATTACTTACTGTTTTTATCCATTTTTTACACAAAGCATTAAGGAAGCTGGTTACTGCTGATTCAGCAACCACAAAGAAAAATACGTTCTAGTATCGGCTAAGAGATTAGCGTAGATCTAGTCATTTTATCAGTTTAACTTGAAACGATAATCAAATATTAATTGATAATTAATATAAGATTTTAAACTAATTATCTCAACGTTTGTAATTTTATATCAATGTAAAAAAAAATATTCCTCACAAAATAAAACTTTACATACATGTAAAGAATGACTGGCACGGTCGATTTTGCAGAATTTTGTGTAAAGCGTGTCGATAATTTGTTATTTCCTATATATTTTACCTAACAAACATCAATGTCCTTCTGTCTACTTCTCAAACAGTTTAACAGTTAAAGTTTTTAACAGGATGTATAGAGCTGCCCTCTAATGATTTTGATCAAGAAAAAATGATGAGTTAGATTAATAAATAGTCCCTTTTCTCAACATTCTTTTCACTCTTCTGTCAACAAAGAAAACACATACCAGCAGCCTTGTATCAAAATTAGTTTGTGATAGCACAGACTTGACCTCAAATACGAAAACCACGTAATCTAAATGGAAACTTAAAATTCCATTGGAGGGGTGAGGGGGAGGGGTTGAGGGGAGGCGTGAGGGGGGAGGGGATGGGGTTGAGGGGGATGGTGGTGGTGGGATGGGAAAAATTTGCACAAAGACAAAAATACAAGGAAAATGAGATCAGGTGTTCCAAAAGATTAAGCGTGATCAGCACCATCAATGACACCAGATATGTTAAAATCTTGGGCAGTACAAGTAACTTTGTGCAACGTTCCCCAAAAAAGAACAAGGTCAACAAAGTAAGGACAAATACGATTTAGTGAAAAGTTCCGGAACTATTACAGAACAAAAAAAAATGGTTACATAGTGGGAAAATATAACTGAAGAACGACAGAACGGATTTAGGATTACGGATTTAGGATATAATCAAAACGTAAATCGGTGTTAAAAGATAAATAGTAAAATAGGATAAAGCTAAGATAAATAGTAAAAGGTAGATAAATGTCAGATAAAGTAAAGTTTGATAAAGATAAATTGTAGAATAGCACAGAGTAGATCGGTGTTAGAAAGATATATCGTAAAATGAAATGGAATTAAAACAAAAATATATATAAATAGACATAACTCTAACGGTGGAAATGATAGATAAAATTGTTACCTCCAATTTGAACTTGAAAGAAAACGAAAAGGACGAAAACCAGCATCCTGTGTTAGTGTCGACTTCACAAAAAGAAGATGTAACCGTTGGTCAGGTGGAGACACAAGTGATTGTCCTTTGACCATTTACAATCGATATGTACACCTCTCTGTTATAGAGACATTAGGGGTAAGGATCAACGCATCGCGACACGGGGGCTCCAAACGGGGTCTCTGGTATATCATTATTCATTTACAGAAATTCAAACGACATGTCCTCTACCAACAGCAAGTTAAGTTTGATGGTTTCCATTTCATTTTAAGGTCGAATATTTTACCAGTAATTGGGCTTGTGTGGTGTAGAAGTTTCATCTTATTACACTAACGAAAAGCCTCAAAGATCATTCGATGGAAGACGCTAATATATTTTTACCTAAAACCTGGATAAAACATCTGCGTTTTCTTTGTTATATAAAAATCAAAGTTCATATGTCGTTTGGATCTAAGTTGTGTGCGCGTGGATGTGCTGTGTTCTGTGTGTGTGTGTGTTTTTTTTTTTTTTTTTTAATGGAGGTAATTTCGCAAAATTGATAGCAAAAAATCCCCTTTGAAAGGCCTCAGTGAGATTAACAATCTTCACTCGATTTCCCCCCTGATCATGAACACACTTATGGTCCCCTATAAATTAATTTGAATCTCAGTGTTAATAACGCTTGTTTAATAAGGGGTGTGGAGCGAAATGGGCGTGGCTACTTACAATCGGTATTTCCGCTAACCGCGTTCTCTCACTAAATCTACATATGTCCATCGTACCCAGCGGTCATAATCCAAATCATTGGCCATTCAGGGGTCAGTTTATCATATTACTTAGAAAACAACTCTATAAATTAGCCTTTTTGCTAAGTCAAGCCAACTCTAAAACAGAGGAGTTCTAGATCAATGAAACTTCAATGGCACGGTTGATAACTTTCCATTCCTAATGTATTTTAGGTGACATAGTGGATAACGGTCTTGTTTTACAACAAGGCCATTTTGTTTGATTTTCCTTTTGTACAATCTTTGGAGGTGAAAATGTATAGTGTTACCTGCAAAATTAGTTTCTCAGAGAATCCCGTTTGTCTCCCATGGTAAGTCATTATCCGGCCCCTTCACGTTCTAGCTAGCAGGGTAGGTAGTACACTGAATATAAGATAAGAAAAAATATGACATCAATCGATATAACCTACCTAATATCAAAATATTTCTAATCAAACGGTATAAAGCTTTGGGCTTTCATTCAGGCTAACAATGAAGATTATTTACCTAATAAAAATATATGATATAAACCGATGTTATAGTATTTCTAATAAAGATATTGAACTCCCTACGCTTTCATTCAGGCTAACAATGAAGATTATTTTCCTAAAGAAAATATATGATATAAACCGATGTTATAGTATTTCTAACCAAAAGGTATAAAGCTTTGTGCTTTCATTCAGGCTAACAATGAAGATTATTTTCGTAATAAAAGTATATGATATAAACCGATGTTATAGTATTTCTAATAAAGATATTGAACTCCCTACGCTTTCATTCAGGCTAACAATGAAGATTATTTTCCTAAAGAAAATATATGATATAAACCGATGTTATAGTATTTCTAACCAAAAGGTATAAAGCTTTGTGCTTTCATTCAGGCTAACAATGAAGATTATTTTCGTAATAAAAGTATATGATATAAACCGATGTTATAGTATTTCTAATAAAGATATTGAACTCCCTACGCTTTCATTCAGGCCAACAATGAAGATTATTTTCCTAAAGAAAATATATGATATAAACCGATGTTATAGTATTTCTAACCAAAAGGTATAAAGCTTTGTGCTTTCATTCAGGCTAACAATGAAGATTATTTTCGTAATAAAAATATATGATATAAACCGATGTTATAGTATTTCTAATAAAGATATTGAACTCCCTACGCTTCCATTAAGGCTAACAAGGAAGATTATTTTCCTAAAGAAAATATATGATATAAACCGATATAAGATATAGTATTTCTAACTGTGACAAAAGGTGTGATAATAGCTTTGTATCACTATTTCATCAACAGAACAGAGAATTTAGATATGCCCCAAAAATGTATATATACTTTAAAAAGTGATACCGTTTCCATAGCAACATAAAACTTCTTCATAATCACAAGAGGCATCCAAAGCACAGTAACCGAGTATATATTGACAGAGTTATACACGAAATAAATAAATAAATAGCCCTGGTAAAATACTAGTCGCAACATTCTTTTCAGCTCGATCGGTTGAGTGTCAGACGCATAAGTCATAGGTTCTGGGTTCGATTCCTAGTGGAGGCATTGAATAACTAATGACCTCTGTTACATTGGTGTCCACGTAGGGACTCGGGAATAATATCATGGTTACTTTCACAAGTACCGCCATCCTCAATACGCTCGGGGTTACAGTCAATTTTGCTCTCTCCATCCCTTGAACATCTCGTGGCAGAATTGAAGGTTCCATGTTCGACACTTTGAGGACAAGACGAAAAGACTTTGATTCTTTTATCTACATCAAACGAATCTCGGGTCGCACAACGGTATGTTGTAATGGCGTTGGAGTTGGGTGTCGTATCAGCCTGTGATTGGTAAGGTTCTTTCTCCTGGAACCATGCAAATTACTTCTCTTGTGATTTCGATTTTGCCATGACATGTCCCAGGAGTACAGAGAACGGAAGTGAACATAACCCCTGGAGTATCGAGGATGGTCCCAGGGGCACAGAGAGCGGAAGTGAACATAACCCCTGGAGTATCGAGGATGGTCCCAGGGGTACAGAGAGCGGAAGTGAACATAACCCCTGGAGTATCGAGGATGGTCCCAGCGGCACAGAGAGAGGAAGTGAACATAACCCCTTGAGTATCGAGGATGGTCCCAGGGGTACAGAGAACAGAAGTGATCATAACCCCTGGAGTATCGAGGATGGTCCCAGGGGCACAGAGAGCGGAAGTGAACATAACCCCTGGAGTATGAAGGATGAAGTAGCGATGTAACCCCCTGGAAACTCGAGGACGAGTTATTTTCTTGAGGTGGAGTACGTGACCTTGGTATATGTTAATAATAGCGACAATAGCTCGGTTAGAGTGAACTCCTTTATAGTGCGATCGGTTGGGCATCAGACTCATATGTCAGACGTCCCGGGTTCGAATCCTAGCGGAGGCATTGTAATAAATAATGACCTCTGTTGCATTGGCGCCTATGTAGGAACTCGTGAATAATTAGCGACATTTCAGTCACAAGTATCTCTGTAAAATTCCGGAAACTCGGTGACGAGTTATCTCCTGGAGGTGATGTAGCCCTGGTAAAATACTAGCCGCAATATACCACTCGGCTAGAGAAAACTTCTATTTAGCTCGATCAGTTGAGCGGCAGACTTGTAAGCCAGGGGTCTCGGGTTCGATTCCTAGCGGAGTCATTTAAATAAATAATGACCTCTGCTACACAAACACAGACATGTTTATATATACATATAAGTTCGGGCTCCACAGGGGCGTATACCATTGATATATCATTACACAACATGTACCCACACAGAGACAGAACAAACCTCAGAAGCGATTAATTAATTTGAAAGTAACTGCAAGAGAGGTTATTATTTTACATGTACGTGTTATATAGGGATTGATATAAAATAACACGGATTGCTGACAGACCTTGGTCTGGGTATTAGCGTGTGACGTCACAACATCAGGACATGGTATTCGTCTCGCGCATTTGTGCAATCGGCACCTTACTGCCAACTGAATCTGCCCTTCACACAACAGGTACTCGATTGTGGGAAGTTGGTCTGCGGGAACTTCACCCGTTTTTAAGTCTGCCACTTACCGCTGCTCGTCGCCAGCGTCGCGTGGTTTGGGAAGCGACACACGCCCCTTTCTACCATTTTAACAAACCAGATATTTTGACATTTACTGAACGTAACACGAATTTGTCTAACAACGTGGTATATTATAACAAAATATCTATTAGACAGTATTCTGATTCCTATGTCCCCTATATGTTCATAAAATATACATTGTAACATTAAGTTTTTAAGTCTCCCACTCACCGCTGCTCGTCGCCAGCGCCGTGCGGTTTGGGAAGCGACACAAGCCCCAGGAATATTCCAATTGAAGCAGTGGAGATGGGTCTTGTTTAATGATGAGTCCCAGTAAACCCTGTTTCGAGCAGACGATCACTGTCGTGTATAACGACGTCGCGGAGAACATTCTGCTCCAACAATCAGTCCTTCAGTCCTTTTCAATTTCAAATTACAGGGTTCTGTTTCAATTCCTTTTAATTACTTCTAAATCGTTTACCAGATAAAAATCGGTTCAAAAGATGCTGGTTGATGAAAATTATGGAGAAGTTTCATGGTCGCCATAGTGATCTCATTACTAAATTTTTTATTTCTTTTTTTTTCTGGATATATTTGATGCTCGTTAGTTTGCTTGTTGGCTCCGTTGGTGTGTACCTTGTTCTCATTTGAGAACATGACATTACTTACTTTGATTGACCAAGGTTAACAGGGGTGATGTATTTTTCCGAAACGTCTGGTCTTATTTTCATTGTACTTTTTCTCGAGTCTCCGTGTAAATCTTTCTTTTGTTCATAAGTTGCCCTAGTTTTATGGAATTCGAGTTTGAATTATGATTATGTTGCCATGTTGGTATCCTCTTGATGTTTCCTGTCACAGATTAAACTCTCTAAACGTTTTACAGTAAAGTTTGTCGCTTAGTCACATGCATAAATAACATTTTTTATAGAAATAAATTTACATTATTTTTGCGTTTACATATTTTAAATTATTTAATAACGACTATATTTTGTCGCGTACTGCGATGTTTAAATGAGTGAGTATTGTCCACGAAAAGTCTAGTCAGCTTCCTCATATCTATTCTACATATGCCAGTAATTTGGCTATTTTGTGTATGAAAATATATGTGTAAATATAATAGTTTATAGTGTGTTTACTATTTCTTTTATCGTTCACCGTTGCTGTGCACTCGTGATAGATACTGAAATTTTACACATATTTGTTC